TACAGAGAGGAGAAGAGAAACAGAGAGGATGATCTTCCAACTGCTGACCCATTCCCCAAGCAGCTGCAATGGCCAAAGCTACACCATTCCGGAGCCAGGAGCCAGGAGTCTCCTCTGAGTCTCCTACATGGATACAGGGTTCCAAGGTCCCAGGCCATCCTCGACTGCTTTCCAAGGCCACAAGCAGGGAGCTGGATGGGAAGTGGGGCTGCCAGGATTAGAACCGGCGCCCACATGGGATCCCAGCGCATGCAAGGTGAGGACCCCAGCCGCTAGGCTACCATGCTGGGCCCAGAGTCTTCATTCTTATGTTTAAGTCTTTATACAACTTTCCTCTCCATCCTCTGCATTGCTACTACCATTAGATTCACAACTACAGGACCCAGCGTGATGGCTCTATTAGTTAACCTCCCCATCAATTGTCGGGATCCCATACGGAGGCCGGTTTGTGTCCCGGTTGCTCCACTTCCCATCCAACTCCTTGCTTGTGGCCTGAGAAGACAGTTGAGGACGGCCCAAAGCCTTGAGATCCTGCAACCACATGGGAGACCTGAAAGAAGCTCCTGGCTCCCAGATTCTGACTGGCACAGCTCCAGCCCTTGTGGTCACTTGGGGAATGAATTAATGAACAGAAAATCTTCCTCTTTGTCTCTCCTCCTCTCTGTATAACTGATTTCGCAACAAAAATAAAATAAAATAGATCTTAAAAAAATAAACAAATAACACCAGCTGCTTACAAGAAACAGCGTTGGACCACAAAGACAGTATCAACCGGTCCCTCCTGAGACTAGAGCGTGTGCGGAAGAACAGAGCTGGACATGGGCATGGCAACACAGCCACGCCACGAAGGAATACACACTGAAGAAGCTCATGAGAGAGCTCACAGACTGGCGCAGTCAGGGAGGACTTCCCAGAAGCAGAGATGTTGAAGGAGACATCCTGCGGATCCCTGTGCTCACAGGTCCCATGTTGGGAAACAACAGCAGTGCTGAGAGGTAAGCTACTAGAACCTTCCCGCCATCAGGTAGGCGGGGCAGACTGTCTCGCGCTGCTTCAAGGCTCACCACAGTCCACACACCTCAACACGCCCCTCGAGGCCTTCGGCAGTGGCCCTACCGCTCTCCTGCGTGGTCTTTAGTCTTCCCTCGACCTGCGTGGTGGGCTCCATTCACACAGTGATGTTCACCTATCACAGCGCCCCTACCCCGGGGCTCCTGGACACCCTGGCCTCGCCTGTACCAGACAAGACTCACCAGGAATACCCGCCCTCCCCTTCCTCACTCCCGCCACCTGGCCGTGTGGGAGGGAACACCCTATACACTTCCAACAGCATCACCTCACAACTGGGAGGAGACACCCTCCTGAAATCACTGTACAAGGCCGCCAGGAGACAGAAGGAGCAGCGTGTCCCTCCCCTTCCCTGCACCTAGCTTTATTTCTATTTAACCACGACATGTGCGCACTGCCACTGTCTCCATCATCCTCTGTTCCTTACAGCCTAGGCTACCTGCAGCATCTAACTACGTGCTAATCAGCCATCCCGGTGAATGAATAACCAAGAGTCCAACGATCTTCCAGCTGGACAATGACTGCAAAGACAGCAGGGCCCGGAGCAGAAAGAACTTCCCGCCGGGAGAGGGTGACGCTGGTACCTGTCCGCCGCCCTCGGGGAAAAGCAGCGTGTCCTCCAGCACCACCTGGAAACCGCTCAGCACGTCCTTCTTGCCGGCGCCTCCTTCCACCTGCAGCTCCGCGGGGCTGCAGGAGACCACGGTGGTGGTGAACTGCACAGGGGACAGAGAGGACAGAGCGCGCTGGGACCCCAGCCCAGCCCCGACACGGCGCCCCAAACCGCCCGGTCAGGACCCTGCCCCAACAGCCCGCACCTCCCGGGCATAGCTGTCCCGCTGACACCGGAACGCCATCGCCGCCGTCTCCCGGGACCCAGGGATGGACACGTGCCGGAAAGCGGCCAGGGCTGGACGGAAAGCAAGATGAGACAAACTTCATGGAGGCTGCGCCTCTGCGCCAAGCAAACAACGGGGCGTGACTTGGCCAAATTTAGCTCAAAACGCCAAGTGCAGCCGTTCTGAGCTGTATAGCCAGGGCTTCAAGGCTGGAAAGAACGACGAAACAAACAAAATCCCTATCTGCGGCCAGAATTTGGCAAAACAGATAGTTCAGCTCCCACCCCCGCCCTTGGGTACTTGAAGAACACATTAAAAAAAAAAGACATGTTATTTCAGTGTGGCCATAAGAATACTTCATCAGGTAATGAGCATTTTTAAATTCTTGAGATGTTCTACATTTTTTTTCTGTACAGATTTCTAAAAGCTGGAGTATAATTTTACTTAGTCCATCTGAATTCCAATTAACCAAGCTTCAAACCTTGCAGTAGAGCAGCGCTGCCCACCATGGATGGTCCAGATAAAGCGGCTAACGGCAGTGCGCTCGGGGAAATGTCTCAAAAGACTAAATGGATGGAAATGGAAAATGAACTCACTGCTGTTTCAGGTCAACTGAGAAGCCGCCTTGAAGCCTCCAGATATTTCAGGATTTTATAACTTTTTGAATGTTAGGCAGGTGTGTGCCCCACATGTAGCCCATGTGTTATGTAACATGCGCTATGGGACCCCTGTTTGAATGTTTTATGCAATCACATTCCTATTCCTGCTGCAAAACAAATAAACCAAAACTACAGAGACTCACATTACAAGTCATTTTTCTGCCACATGAATTTTATTGTCTCTCTATATATTTTATTGTCTATATATACACATATAGATATGATTTTTTAAAATTTTTCAGGGCCCAGCACAGTAGCCTAGCCTTGCACATACTGGGATCCCATTTGGGTGCCAGTTTGTATCCTGGATGCTCCACTTTCCATCCAGCTCCTTGATTGTGGCTTGGGAAAGCAGTTGAGAACGGCCCAAAGCCTTGGGACCCTGCATCTGCAACTGCACCCAGAAGCTCCTGGCTCTGTATATCTTAACTGCTTGGGTCTCTGCCACCCACATGAGAGATCTGGCTGAGGTTTGTGGCTCCTGGCTTCAGCCTGACCCGGCCCCGACTGGTTACAACCATTTGGGGAGTGAATCAGCAGATATGAGCTCTCTCTCTCTCTATGTTACTCTGCCTTAAAAAAAAAAAAAATCAGTTTAATAATAAAATGTCAAACAGTGTATTAAAAACTAAATCCATGATGTGTGTTGAGTTGGAAAGATCTCCAGTATGTACGTATCACTTAGCAAAGGCGCGTTGGCATGGGAGTTCATCACGCAAACATCACAGAGCAAACTTACACAAAGTAAGGCAGTTGTGACGCCACCAGGCAGTATAACTTTACAAGATCACTGTGTTCAATGAAATCCATTGTTGACTGTTCATTATGAAACTCATGGCCATATCAAGTGAAGTAAAGCACAGAATGTAGAATTCCAACTACATGCACATTACATTTGCTTGTATATATTAATCTTGTATTATCTAGTATGTAAATTATTATTATCTAGTATGTAATTAATACTACATATTAATTTCCCTGTGTTTTATGCACATCTTATAACGATGTAAGTCATAGATACTATGGAATTTGTGTATATCATAGACAGGGTATTGTAATAATATACTACATATGTATCAGATAAAACTGTTAACAATTTTGCTTTAAATTTTATACTTTTCTGTAACTTTGTATCTCCTGTCTCTGGAACTCTGCCTTTCAAAGAAATCTTTAAAGAAAAAATTTATATTTCTATCACATTTTTCTTTTTTTTTTTAAAGATTTATTTTTTGTTTTTATTGCAAAGGCGGATATACAGAGAGGAGAGACAGAGAGGAAGATCTTCCGTCCGATGATTCACTCCCCAAGTGAGCACAACGGCCGATGCTATGCCGATCCAAAGCCAGGAGCCTCTTCCAGGTGTTCCACACGGGTGCAGGGTCCCAAGACTTTGGGCTGACCGGCACCCATATGGGATCCCGGTGAGTTCAAGGCGAGGACTTTAGCCACTAGGCCATGCCGCCGGGCCCGGGTTTTTTTTTTCAATTTTTTTAAAATAAGATTTATTTATTTATTTATTTGTTTATTTATTTTTATTACAAAGTCAGATATACAGAGAGGAGGAGAGATAGAGAGGAAGTGGAGCTGCTGGGATTAGAACCAGCAACCATATGGGATCCTGGTACATTCAAGGCGAGGCCCTTAGCCACTAGGCCACACTGCCAGGCCCCACATTTTTAAACTATGTCTATATACTGCTCACATGTTTCAAAATTCACTTTTTCTTTTTTTTTTTTTAAGGTTTTTTTAAACTGGAAATGCAAATTTTTGGAAAGGAGAAACAGACACAGCTGCTGGTTCCCTACCCAGGTAGCCGCAACAGCCAGAGCTGAACTGATCCAAAGTCAGGAACCAGGAGCTTCTTCTGGGTCCCCCACACGGGTGCAGAATCCCAAGGCTGTGAGCCGTTCTTTACTGCTTTCCCAGGCCACAAGCAGGGAGCAGAGAGCTGGGTGGGAAGTGGAGCAGCTGAGATACAAACCTGCACCTATATGGGATCCCAGTACATCAAGGCAAGTACTTTAACCACTAGGCTACGGTGCTAGGCCCCAAAACTTCACTTTTTCAACTTGCTGTGAGTTCCAGAGCAAAGCCTGCATTTTGTTTAAGTCACAGTCTTGTGTATTTATTAGGTGCTCAAGAAATGTAGACAAAGTAGCTATTATAGGAAGAATAGATACACATAGATATTAAAAAAAAAAAAAACCTAGAGATTTATGTGCCATGCAGGAAGCAGAGGTGACAGGTTTTAGGGATGACGGCATAGGCTCTGAGAAATCCAAGCACAGATGTGAGCAAGAGGAAGTCCTTTGGTCCGGCTCCAAGTCTGCCTCCACCATCATTCCTCCACAAACCCCGCGAGAGCAGAAGCTTTCAAAGGGCAAGAGTCTCGCTCCTGGGAAATAGAAATGTAAAACAGAGACACAGGACAGTTCCCAGGAGTTTATTATCATCCATTAGTTCCTCTGTCACTTACACACACATTCTACAGCCTTCTCATCTCCTTTTGTTCTTTGGCTTTCGCTCTGTCACACATCAAATAGCCAGATGATGGGGTGGCATCACCCCAGAGATTAAAAGTGGATCAGGAGAAAGCCAGATATCTCACCAGCCCACCCTTCCTCATTCTTCCATCCTACGTGGTGCTCAAGTCAAGTGTCATGGAAAACAGAAAAACTGGGGCAGGAACCCCTTAGTCGCAAGCTGCTAGGAAAGCTCTGAGATCCCAGGCAGCCTTGGGGCCAAGAGTTCACGACGTTGGCTTTCAGAGCAGCTGGGGAACAGCCAGGTCTCCTTCTGGCTCCAGTCAGGCAGCTAAGCACTCGGTGCATCGGCGCTGTCGGAATCATCCTGGGGGAACAGAAAGTCCAAATGAGCATCTGTGGGGAGGAAAGGCTCGTGCTCCAAGACGCGGCTCACGCCTACCTGCTCTCCAAGTTTCCTTTCATGATCTTCTAAATCGCACAACTTCGCAGGACACTAATGGGCTAGTGTTTTCATTTCAGATCATGGGTAAGTAGTTCTCAGAAAGCATATGTACTCCATCCCGTTTCATTTTGTTAGTTTTGATCAACGCTACTGTTGTCACCAGCCTGGAGACACTCAGCTGGGTCAGCCTCCTCCAGAGCAGACAGGCAGCAGGGGTGACAGAAGGAGTCAGGGGTCCCACAGGAGTTTTAGAACCTCCTGTGTCAAATTCACATGTAGTTGACACACACTGAGAACTACTGTGCCCTAAGGACCGGGATAGGTGCCTTCTAGTGTGTTATTTTTAAGAGTTAAAAAGAGTCAAGATTCAAGCAGAAAACTTACATCCAGGTCATCCATGGCAGGGGGCGCCCTCTTGGTGCTGACCTTATTCAGGAGCTGGAAGGAAGAGAACAGTCACAGGGGATAAGGGCCGGAGGGAAGGCCCGCTGCACACTGACAAAGCTCCCAGCTGTCTGTGCAAGCCACCCGAAGCAAGTGCAGGGGAGCAAATAAACCCCCACTCCTCCAAAGGAAATAGAAATACACACCCACAAGGACACCCTCGTCCCTTATAACACACCCACACAGGGCACCCTCGTCCCTTATACAGACTGGGGTCTACTGGTATTTTAGCAAGTTGATTTAACACTAGCTGAAATTCTAAAATCAAATAACACATGGCATGGTGCAATTCATTGGGAATTAATTATATGGATTTGGGGGGTTTTTTTTAGTTTTTAATTTGCATTTATTTAAAGTTCATTCATTTTATTTGATTTGGAAAGCAGAGCATTAAAGGAAGAGAAAGAAGTTTCGCCTACTGATTCACTCCCCAAATGTGCACAGCAGCTTGCAACAACCCAGGCTGAAGCCAGCAACCACGGACTCCATCTTAGTCCTCCATTTTAGGTGGCACTGACTCAAGCACTTGAACTTCTGAGTATCTGGGTCATTTGAGGACTCTGTCCCAGGGCACACATTTTCAGAAAACTGGATAAGAAACACAGTTATCTAACCCAGATACTCTGACATGGGATGGGGGTGGCTCAACAGTTGGCTTAGCCCACTACGCAATGCCCATTCTTGTTTTTATTTGAAAGGCAAAGAAACAAAGAGAGATTGAGAGAGAGGACTCTTATCTGCTGGTTCACTCCCTAAATACCCACAAGGGAGTGAGGTAGAGCAGGCCAAAGCTGGGACTCAGGAACCCACTCCAGGTTGCCCCTGTGTCAGGGACCCAGTCTTGGGAGCCATCACCCTGCCTCAAGGTGCACACTAGCAGAAAGCTGGAATCTGGCAGCAGACCCAGGATTCACACCCAGGCACTCCAACAGAGGATGCTGCGCCTCCACTGCCATACCAGATGCCACTGGAATGTGGATTTTTATATTGCCTGCTCTTAACTTCTCACCATGTTGCCTGACTCAGGCAAACAGAGAAATATAAAGAAAGAACAAGAATTGGGGGTGGATCAGTGGTGTAGTAGGCTATTCCTATACCCTGTGGCACCAGCGCTGATCCTGCTCCCTGATGGTGACCTAGGAGGCAGGGACCTGGATGGCCTAAGAACTTGGGACACTGGACCAGTGCAGAAGACACAGAAGAAGTTCCTGGCCCATGGCTTTGGATCGGCTCAGCTCTGGTTGTTGTGATCACTTGGGGAGTAAATCAGCAGATAGAAGACCTCTCTCTCTCTCTCCCTCAAATCTGCCTTTCAAATAAAAATTAGGAAATCCTTTAAAAAAAAAAAGAAGAAGAAGAAGAAAGGACAAGAACGACACAAAAGTGGGAAAGCTTTTGTCACACTTTTTCAGAACACAGGCTCTAGTCCATGAAGAGCAGGTCAATCTAGACACGTGGATTTCACTCGCAGTCCTTCCTCTCCTCCCTGTGAGGCACATACTACGCAAGATAGGGAGAGGGTCGCAGCAGAGACGAGTGGCCTGTCTGGGCGCCATGGGCTCCTCAGCCTGGCCCTGCTGAGAACTCGCTGGAGAAGCCAGTGCGCACAAACACAAGGACCCACCTGAGCAGCAAACAGCGTGAGCTCCCTCCCTCCCTCACCTCTGCGTAGTGCTCCACCTGAGCCAGCTCCACCTCCTCGTCCCCTTCCCAGTCTCTCCAGTTATCAAAGTCCACGGAAAGCCACACAGGCTGCAGGAAGAAACAGAGAGAGAGGGCCCGAGGCCAGGAGCAAGAGTGTGGGCAAGCGCACAGTGGTGGGCTCTGGGGGAACCTAGGGCCAAGGAGGACGTACCCTTTTCATCAACCCCTTTCATTATGATCCACCAAACTCACCCAGGAATTCACTAAGTGCCATGCACAGGGCCAGGCATGACAGGCTCTGGAAAAGCATGGACGTTCTGTCCTCCACGAGCTGACATCACACCATGTCTAAAGCTCTATGGGTGTCAAGTAAGCAAGACAAACATGCACCCTCCTTGGAAGCAGAGAGACAAGCCCTCTTGGGCCCATGTTCTGAAGTTTCCACATTTTTACAGATAAGAAGCTTTTTACCCACTCATTTAACATACACTAACAGACCAGACTCTGATTTTGGCAATTAGAATATAAAACTGTTTAACGCACTTTCCTAGCCACCAGGAAGCAAGCGGGGGAGGGAGGTGCAGATAAACCATATACTATAGTGTGCAAAGTGGGGTACCGAGGTCAACGAGAGGCTATCACGGGAACTCCATGAGGAGTTGGGGGAATCTCAGCTTTCCTACAGCATGAGGATACATGAGGATTCAGGGATGGTGGCCTTCTAGAAGGAAGCTTCAGTTTCAGCCAAGTTGGGCTGGACTGTGCAAGAAGCTGGCATCGGTTTATCGGTTTGCTGTGGCTGCAATGTGAAGTTTGAGGCAAACGACATGGAGCGAGCTTGTGTGTCAGGCACTAGTGCTTGGGCTTGACCTAAGGGATGAGGAGCCAAAAGCTCACATGCCTACGAGAGTCAGGGAAGTAACAAAAAGGATGAAAGAGGGGTGGAAGACATGCCCCCACTTAGGCATTCAGGAAACTTAGACCGTATGGCCAGATGCTCCCAAAAAATCCTGAACTCAAAATTCCAGATTCCTAGGCGAAATGTCAGTGACTAGTCAAAAATTATACATGTCAGCAAGCAATCAAAATGACTCTCAACACTGGGAAGATTGTTAAAACAAGTTTAAATTCAGTCAGCAGATGGCCATTTTTCAACCTTTAGGGAGAAACCCCTAAGGGCCTTTTTTTCTTAAAGAAACTTAAAAATTGTGACTAAAATCCTTGCCTTACACATGCGGGGATCCCAAATGGGCACTGGTTCTAATTCTAGCAATCCCACTTCCCATCTAGCTCCCTGCCTGTGGCCTGGGAAAACAGTCAAGACGGCCCAAAGCCTTGGGACCCTGCACCCGTGTGGGAGACCTGGAAGAAGCTCCTGGCTCCTAGCTTTGGATCAGCTCAGCTCTGGCCATTGCGGTCACTTGGGGAGTGAACCATCAGATAGAAGATCTTCCTCTCTGTATCTCCTTCTCTCTGTGCATCTGCCTTTCAAATACAAATAAATAAATCTTTCTTGTTGTTGTTGTTAAGATTTATTTTATTTCTATTGGAAAGTCAGATATACATAAAGTCAAAGAAAGGAGTCTGAAAACTCCATCTCCCACACAGGTGGCAAGGACCCAAGGATTTGGGTCATCATCTGCTGCCTTCCTAAGTGCATTAGGAAGAAGCTGGATTCGAAGCAGATTCCCTGGAACTCAAACCAACACTCCAATATGGTACAGGGACACCCTAAGCAGCAGCTTGATCCACTGTGCCACAATGCCAACCCTCACAGAAGGTCTTCAGTGGGAAAGTGTCAAAGTCAAATCTGTTTTAGACAAATCCCTGTTGGGGACAATGCAGAGGATGAAATGGGTAGGACCAACGATGGGAACAAACCTTTCAACAAAACCCCAGTAGGTGAGGTTTTAACTAAGAATTGAGTAATGACACTATTTAGGATGTCCTAGCAGATTAAGCCACTGCCTAGGATGCCTGCATCCCACGTGTGAGTGCTAATTCAAGTCCCAGCAACTCTGTGCTTCTGATCCAAATGCAAATAAATACATGGGTTCCTATTAAAGTAAAAAAAAAAAAAGATTAAAAAAAATCTCATTATCAGTTTTACAGAGACGAGAAACAGAAAGACCTTCCATCCATTGGTTTACTCCTCAATGGATGGAGTTGAGCTGATCCAAAGCCCTGGGAAGTAAGGCTTTGAGCCATCTTCTATTACTTTCCCAGGCTGGACGGGAAGTGGAGCAGCTAGGGCATGAACTGGCGGCCATATGGGATCCCGGTGCATGCAGGCAGAGGATTAGCTAATGAGACACTGTGCCGGGCCCCAAATTCATCTTTAAAATACATATCTAAAAGATCGGATGGGCCAAACCTGGGAAGTAACTGTTGGCTGGAGAAAAGGCAAGGGCAGTGCCAGACCTAACTGGGTACCTGAGAACACAGCACCCACCTTGATGTCCTCCTTGGTGAGCCGGGGCCAGGCCACCTTCTCCTTCCACTTCCTCACAAAGCAGGTAATGGAGCGGCTAGAGCGCTTGTCTTGGGAGTCCTGCGGGCAGACGGCCTCATTCCCAGCACTTGGAGCTGGAGAATGGATCTCCAGTCCTCCTGGGAAGCCTCCCGTCGCGCAGCCTGCAGGGTGTTTGCATCCTTACCTTGCAGTTCACCTTGGCATAGAACTCAATCTCGTTGTGCAGCTCCACCCCGTCGGCATTCTTACAGCTGAGGAGACAAGGGAGCTGAGGAGACGGGAGACAGAACACGGGCGCAGGACAAGCAGAGGCTTGGGGGAGGCTGGACCCTCCGCAGGGAAGGCCCTTACCTGAACACCAGGCGGTGGTCCTCGATCACCACCTGCACATCAGTGCTGTCCTCCACACAGAACTCCATGAACACATACTTGGGCCTGTCGTACCACAGGGTCCGGGCATGCTGCCTGAAGGAGTCAGGCGGGGCTTCATACAGGTGGGAAAGGGAAGACTGAGGGGAAGGGGAGTGGGTTGGGGACAGCACAGGGACACTTGATGTCTAGGTTTGGCCACGCTGCAGCTGAGGCAGAAAAGTGTGGAAGGAAGTAAGAGGATTTGGACCTGGTGAGGGTGAACCTGGTGGCAAAACGCGAGGTTAGAGGCTAGTTGAACATTCTGGTCTGCAAGCAGATCCGGGGCCTCAGGGAAGCTGGAGTATGCAGGCAACCCCCAGCGGGAAAAGGGCCATGTGGCCGTACTCACCGTGCCATGGCGGCTCCAGAGCCCGGGTGGCCTTTGGAGCCCCAGGCAGGGACTGCTATCTTTAGATCCCAGGGAGGCCCCTAGCAGCTGCATCTCCTTATATGGTCGGGGGGTGGGGGAGAAGCTTGAGAAAGGGGCACGTGGCTCCACAGATAGGGCATCTGCACTCCGAGGAGGCTCAGGTGAAGTTCATAATCCTTGCACCCCTGCCCCACCCCGGGGTCTCCAGGACTGCACAGAACAAAGCACCAAGGCAACGACTAGCATAGATTTTTCATACGGAGAATGCCTTGTGCCAGCCTCCCTTGATCCAGAGATTAGCACTCAGGGTTTCAGAGGCGCTCAATTAAAAAAAAAAACAGTGAGAGTCCTAATCAAATCTCGGCCGCGACCCGCCCTCAGGGGCGGCCGGACGCCGAGCCCCGCCCACCGCTGCTCCCGGCCCGCGCGCCGTTGCCATGGCAGCGAGGGGGCGCGGCTGACGTGCCGCGGAGTTTCCGGGAAGATGGCGGCGGCCGAAGCGGCTGCAGAACCGGCACCTGTGGTGGCGGTCATCGAGCCAAAGGCAAAGGACCAAGAGGAGGAGGAAGAGGAGTCGCTGCCGCCGTGCGAGGCGGTGCGCTGGGCCCCCGTGGGGGCGGTGGCAGAGACTGGGCCTGGAGCGGCTGCCTTCTCGGAAGAGGCGGCGGCCGAGGATCCTGGCGGAGCCCCGGGGTCCCCTCCGGACTCGCCGGGCCGGACGCTGAGGCGGCTGCGGGCGGAGCGGCGGCGGCTGGACTCGGCCCTGCTGGCGCTGTCCTCGCACTTCGCGCAGGTGCAGTTCCGCTTGCGCCAGGTGGTGCGCGGAGCCCCGGCGGAGCAGCAGCGCCTTCTGCGCGAGCTCGAAGACTTCGCCTTCCGCGGCTGCCCCCACGTCCTGGGTTACGAGGGGCTGGGAGACCCTGTCCTCGACGAGGGAGACGGGCCGCCGGGGGGCCGGCCACGACTGCGGGGCGAGGACCCGGTGAGCGGCTGGGGTTGGGATGCTGACGCGCACGGAGGTAGAAATAGTGAGAAGGTGAGGGACGGGGAGGCCCGGGGGGGACCTGAGCGTGTGGTGAGGGGCGTAGGGCTGAAAGCCAAGTGAGACTGAGGGATCGCTGCCTGTCCGCCGCACCCCTTTGTCCTCGCCACCTGAGGTCCTTCGCCCTGAACACTGATGGGGTACCCCCGCCCCGAGGACTGGGAGGATCACAGGTGCGCTCCTGGAGGGGAGAGTTTCGAGGCGGCTGGAGGGGCTGTTAGAGAACCCCAGTTCCCGATGGCACGATTTTCCTAGTGTTGATCGTCTTGTACCCCTCGCCCATCCTGGCGAATAACTGGGTGCTGCTGTATTCTAAGTGGAGGCCTCCAGATCCCCCACACTGAGAAGGGGTGAAGCCAGGTGCACCCCCACACCACGGGAAAGTTTTCTTCTAGGCTTGGGCGCGCTCTCCGCAAGTGCCCAAACGTGATTAGCAGCTCTTGGGAGGTGGTCAGACGGGCCGCCTCTCTCCCACATGTGGCTTTCTTCCCACCGAAGTGGGGTGTGTAGCCAAGATTGAGCACAGCAGATCCCGACTGGCTTACTTACCCATCCACCCTTCTCTGTGCGCCTACGGCTCCTGCAGAACAGCAGGCATTGCCGGGCTTGAGGACGGAAAGAAAAAGATCCCCGTAGCCGACCACAGCAGCGCTTCTCTGTGCGTGTGCACCCTTGGCCTTGTTCATTTGCACTTTGATAAAGAGTGTACCACATAGGGCTCACCTAAGGGCCTGGCAAGGCTACTGCTGCGGGAGCCAGGTGTCAAAATCCAATAAATACATCTGTAGAAGGCTAATTTTTTTTTTTAAGATGAAAATTTTGTGCAGTCCATGAATGTTATACTTTTCTAAATGTCCCTTGACAGAAAAAAGGTGTTTTCCCTGGAAAATAAAAGCAGTGCTTGTGTGTCTATGTTGATGTGTACACAGGTGGTACCAAAGCAGGAGACGTCTCTGAACTGAACGGTTTACTTATAAGTTCCAGAACTGTTAAACGTGTATTTTCTTTTATCTCGCTCAATACCGGAGATAATTCTCTTTATTTCCTGCCTTGCACCAGAGTTTGTTATTCTGAGCTCCTAAACTCTTACACTGTCTGCGGCAAGCGATGGAGTTCAGCAGACACAACCATGAACACAGAGCAGGGTTAAAGCTGGTTTCTTTCTTCCTTGGGAAGAAAGTTGGGATACAGTTTTAAAAAAAAAAAGGGAGGGGAGAGCGGATGTGCTGGGGGAGAGGGTAAGTTGTTGCAGAGTTAAGCCATCCATTGGGTGGGACCCCACATCCCACCCAGGGGGCACTGGTTAGGTGCCTGCTGCTGTTTCCAGCCCAGCTTCCTGGTAATGCAGACTAGGAGGAAAGACAGCACCAGTGCAGTGTCCCTGCCGCTCACATGGGAGGCCTGCGTGGCATTCCACACTCCTGCCGTCCGCACGTCACAGCCCCAGCTGCTGTGAGCATCTGGGTAGTGAACCTGTTCAATGAAAGATGTCTCTCTCGGTTTCTCCCCCTCTCTCTGTCACTCTGCCATTCCAAATTAAATAAATAAATAAATAGTTTTAAAAATGTTTAACCCTTAGGCTAACAATGTAGAAAAGACTATTTCTCCCACTGCTTTCTATAACTTTTTTTTTAGCTTTATTTTCTATTGGAAAGTCAGATTTACACATAGAGGAGACACAGAAAGATCTTTCATCTGCTGTTTCACTCTCCAAGTAGCCACAATGGCCAGAGCTGAGCTGATCTGAAGCCAGGAGCCAGGAGCTTCTTCCTGGTCTCTCACATGGGTGCAGGATCCCAAGGCTTTGGGCTGTCCTCTACTGCAGGGAGCTGGATGGGAAGTAGAGCAGCCAAGATAGGAGCCAGCAGCCTGTGGATGCCAGTACTTGCAGGCAGAGGATTAGCCAGTTGAGCCTTTGTGCTGGCCCCTAGTTCAGGGACCTCAGGCCCTAGAGTCCCTCTTTTGGATTGGTTGTTCTGTACCTCATTCAGGTCATTAACATGTAAAACAAGTGTCCTGAGAGCTGCCTCTCTATCAGGCACTTAGGGATCAAAGTCAAAAGCCAGACCCAATCCTACACAAACAGCGTAAAGAGGAGCAAGCGATCTATTCTGCCGGGAAAATTGGCTGGGGAGGGTTGGGGAGGGTCCCGGAGGGGGAAGGCCGGGCAGGGAGCATGAACATGCCTAGGAGGAAAGCCTTGCTTTTACATTGAGCAAAGCTGATATGAGGATTGCTTTTTCATAACTGCTTGGCCAAAAAGTTAATTTGTTGTTTTTTATTTGTTTTTCTCTCCCACCTTACTTCTGGAGGGGTTGGTAAGTACCGTTTTAAGATGAACTGTAATACCACGCAGCCTTCTAGTTTAAAATGCAGCTTTCCATCTGCCCAGGATTTGCTGCTGTTGACACTCAGGGAACACCAGCCTTCACAGCCTGGAAGGCCCAAACAATCTCCAGGCCTAAGCGCCCTGTGGCCAAGGAGAGAGAGAGTCTGGGAAACTTCCAGAATCACTGTCCCCTTGCCTCATGCACTGTTTGGCTTGGGGTTTATTTGTTTTGTTTTTATCACCACCCCAGGTTGCTGCATTTGATTCTCATTTTGGAAAAGCTTATGTTATTGGAGGATCTTTGAACCTTAAGAAAACTATGAGAACTGGGCCCGGCACGGTGGTGCAGTGGTTAAGGTCCTCGCCTTGCACGCCCGGGATCCCATATGGATGCCGGTTCTAATCCCAGCGGCCCTGCTTCCCATCCAGCTCCCTGCTTGTGGCCCAGGAAAGCAGTCGAGGACGGCCCAAAGCTTTGGGACCCTGCACCCGCGTGGGAGACCCGGAAGAGGCTCCTGGCTTCGGATCGGCATAGCATCAACCATTGCGCTCACTTGGGGAGTGAATCATCGGACGGAAGATCTTCCTCTCTGTCTCTCCTCCTCTCTGTATATCCGACTTTCCAATAAAAATAAAATAAATCTTAAAAAAAAAGAAAACAATGAGATAAAAAGCCTTTCTCTACACTCTTATCCGATTATTTGGCCAATTTGGGCTGCACAAAATATTCAGAAGTTTCGCTGTGGTAACTGGCTTCTATGCAGAGAGGCTTGTTTAATTCCTAGCAGACAGTGTTGGCCAAGCTGCCGCTACCTTTAGCTGACCTCTACAACAACAACAAAATGAGTAGTTTTAACACAAGTCTCGATTGTTTTTATATCCTTTTCTTTTTTGAGATTTATTTATTTTTATTGGAAAATCAGATATACAGAGAGGAGGAGAGACAGAAAGATCTTCCATCCGATGATTCACTCCCCAAGTGACCGCAACAGCTGGTGCTGTGCCGATCCGAAGCTAGGAGCCAGGAACCTCCTCCAGGTCTCCCATGCGGGTGCAGGGTCCCAAGGCTTTGGGCCATCCTCGACTGCTTTCCCAAGCCACAAGCAGGAAGTTAGATTAGAACCAGTGCCCATATGGGATCTGGGCGTGTGCAAGGCGAGGCCTTTACCACTACCCTATCGTGGCAGGCCCTATATCCTTTTTGTTAAAGACAACACATTTAATTGCCCTGGAAGAAGCCTCAATGCTTACTTTTGAACCTGTCTTAGAAATTGTGTGTTTCCTTTGACTTATTGGAAGTATTTGGTTTTACTGGTCATAACTGGTTTGAGAGAATTCCCGCCATGGGCACTGGGGTTTACTTTATCCTCTGAAATGGACTCTAGCATTTTCTCTTCCTAGAGTGAGCAGGAAAAGCAGGAGCGCCTGGAAACGCAGCGGGAGAAGCAGAGGGAGCTAATATTGCAGCTCAAGACCCAGCTGGATGACCTGGAAACCTTTGCCTACCAGGAGGGCAGTTACGACTCCCTGCCACAGTCCATGGTCCTGGAAAGACAGCGGGTGAGCTGACCTCAGAGGCTGTGCCACCGCCCGGCCCCAGCCTGGTCCTGCTGCTCTCCCTTCTCTCTTGGCCTTACTAAAAATCCCTGTGCCAGCCCGAAAGGAAATTTTCCCATTAGGTCTTTATTTGCACATGGAAAACACAACTTCCAGGGTTTTATTAAACAATGATTGAACTCTTTTTTGCTGGATATTATTAATAGAAGCAATAATACAACAACATTAATAATAACCAACATTTGTTCAATTTATTGAAGTAAGACTTAGGTGGACAGCATAACTTGGCCAGTGGAGATGCAGCCAGGCCTGCTCTAAGCGTGTGTCCATCCCTGGAATGTGGCCGTGCTTCTGACTGGGCTGTTTCAGATTGTTCCCAGGGTAGCCAGGCTGTCCTGTGCCTTTTCTGCAGTTGGCTAGAGTCAGGCAGTGAAGGATAAGAAGCAGCTGGTGTTGTGGCACCATAGGGTAAGCCACCATGGAATCCCATGTTGTGGTGCCTTGAGTTCTGGATGCTCCACTTCCTATCCAGCTTCCTGGGAAAACAACCACGCATGGCCCAGATACGTGAGTCTGTGCCCCGTGGGGGAGGTAAGGATTGAGTGCCTGGCCCCACCCCAGCTGTCCCAGCCATTTGAAGCATGAACCCGTGGTGGAGGACCTTCCTATGTCTCTGCCGTTTTGCCTTTCAATTAAATCACATTTAGAAAGGAAAAAAGAAAAAAAGGTATAGAAATGAAGAAAACTCAGTACATAACATGGGGTCTTCAAGGAGTTCAGGGAAAACTCTCATTTAACTTTTCATTTGATTTTCACAAACTTTCTGAAATATCCCTCTGCTCTCTTGGAGCCCCTTGGAGAAGGTAGACAGAGCTGCCTGTGTCATCAGCCTCTTTGAATTAGTCACACTGTTGTCCTGACTCAAAGGGCTCCTGGTCCTACAGCTCACAAGAGGCGCTCTCTCCATCACTGAACGCTCCCCTCGCTCAGCAGTGGCCTGCTTTCCTCGCCAGCTCGGGGAGGTCAGGACACAAGATGAAGAAGCATCTCCCGCCCGCCCCTCTCCCTGAACACTGCGAAACCTGTGCTCACTGCAGCTGATCCTGACAGGTGATCATCGATGAGCTGATAAAGAAACTCGACATGAACCTGAGCGAGGACCTCAGCTCACTGTCCACTGAAGAGCTCCGACAGCGTGTGGATGCGGCGGTGGCTCAGATCGTCAACCCGGCCCGCGTGAAGGAGCAGCTGGTGGAGCAGCTGAAGACACAGATCCGAGACCTGGAGATGTTCATCAGCTTCATCCAAGGTCAGAGCGGGAGCTGGACACGGGTGGGCGGCGTGCAGGGGACGCTGGTGATTCTGAGTACGGGTACCTAACGGTGGCAGTTTTGATGCCCTCTTGAGAGGTCTGATTCACACGGCAGAGTGCAAGGAGCTTGGGTTTTAGAACCAGAGAGGTAAAGTCCCAGCTCTGACACTTAACTGGCTTCATGTCCTTGATGGGGTTACTACCCTCTCTTTATCTTTAAAATGATTCATGCGTCATTGACTTAGCAAATATTTATCAAGCCAACTGCTATATGCCAGTCCCCATTTTACGTAATTAAGTAAGATAAGAATTTGTAAAATGCAGGCACCATTGAGTCTTGTTTGCTAGGCCTGCTGTTGTAGTACAGCACATTAGGCCTCCGTATGTCACACTGGCATTCCCTATCAGAGTGGCAGGTTTTGTTTTTTTTGTTTGTTTGTTTTTTAAGCACCAGGCCCTGGCTGTTCCACTTCTGATCTACTTCCCTGCTAACAGCCTAGAAAAGCAGGACAGCATGGTCCAGGTACACCCCACGGGAGATCTGAGTGGAGTTCCAGGGTCATGGCTTCCACTCAGTGCAACTTCAGCCATTGCGGCCATCTGGGGAGTGAGCCAGGGAATGGAAGCTTGCTCTCTGTCTCTCCCTCTCTCTGTCTCTCCCTCTCTCTGTCTCTCTCCCTCTGACTTGCAAATAAATCACATATATGCATAAGTGTATATCCTATAAAAAGTTGTTATCGTGCAGGCCCGGCGCGATGGCCTAGCAACTAAAGTCCTCTCCTTGGCATGCTGGGATCCCATATGGATGCCAGTTTATGTCCTGGTAGCCCCGCTTCCCATCTAGCTCTCAGCTTGTGGCCTGGTAAGGCAGTTGAGGACGGCCCAAAGCCTTGGGATCCTGCACCCACTTGGAAGACCTGGAGGAGGTTCCTGGCTCCTGGCTTTGGATTGGCACAGCTCCAGCTGTTGCGGTCACTTGGGGAGTGAATTATTGAATGGAGGATCTTCCTTTCTGTATATCTGATTTGCAATGAAAAATAGGTAAATCTTAAAAAAAAAAAAGTTGCCATTGGGCAAAACACGTAGCCTAGCAACTAAAGTCCTCACCTTGCACACACCAGCATTCCATATGGGTACCTGTTCAAACCCAGACAGCCCCGCTTCCCATCCAGCTCCCTGCTTGTGGTCTGGGAAAGCAGTCGAGGATGGCCCAAAGCCTTGTGGTCACTTGGGGAGTGAATCATTGGACGGGAGATTTTCCTCTCTGTCCTCCTGTCTGTGTATCTGACTTTCCAATAGAAATAAAATCTTTTTTTAAAAAGTTGCCATTATGGGGCTAAGCCAGTGTTCTTTGTAATTTCTGAATACAGATGAAGTGGGAAGCCCCTTGCAAACAGGCGGTGGACAGTGTGAGTGCAAGACCAGCGGGAAGCCAGGGAGTGGCTCCACTAGAGCAGGCAGCAGCAGACCACCTCTTGGAAACAGCAAGAGTAAGTACAGCTTCTAAGGCCATGTCAGGGCGAGAAGCAGCTTCGCAACTGCTTAGGGCTTCAGGGGAAGGAGGAATGGGAAGTGCTGAATGGGAATTCTTTGGGAAATAAGAAAAACAGTTTAAAGTTGATTGCCATAATGGTTGCACAGCTCTGAGTACGCTAAAAATCAATGAAATTGTAGGCCTTACATATGCAAACCATTTGGTATGTGGAGTGTATCTCAATGTAGTGATGAACCAAAACTGTCAGTGCAGCCACACTGTGGGTAGTTGCAGTCTTCATATGGCTGAGCCCAGACTGGGAAGGTGAGCAAATGCGATCCCAGCCTCTCCCTGACAAGCCGTTGTCTTTCCCAAACAGTGAAGGCAGAAGACATGAGGAGAGTTCGGGAGACCGGGCTGCACTTGATGCGGCGAGCACTGGCTGTGCTACAGATCTTCGCTGTTAGCCAGTTTGGTTGTGCCACCAGCCAGATCCCTCAACCCTTGTGGCAGAGGGGCCAGGCTGACCGAGACTACGCCCCCTTGCTGAAGAAGCTGGAAGTGTCCGTGGACAGAGTGAAGCAGCTGGCCTTGAGACATCAGCCCCACGACCACGTTATCACCTCTGCCAACCTCCAGGACCTCTCTCTGGGAGGCAGAGACGAGCTGACCACGGCCGTGCGGAAGGAGCTGACGGTAGCCGTGAGGGACCTGCTGGCCCACGGACTGTACGCCTCCTCCCCTGGGATGAGCCTCGTCATGGCCCCCATTGCGTGTTTGCTGCCATCCTTCTCCTCCGCGCCCGAGACCATGCACCCCTGGGAGCTCTTTGTGAAGTACTACCATGCTAAGAACGGCCGCGCCTATGTGGAGTCCCCAGCCCGGAAACTCTCGCAGTCCTTCGCCCTGCCGGTCTCGGGAAGCGCTGTCTTGACGCCCAAGCAGAGCCTCTTGACGGCCATCCATGTGGTGCTGACGGAGCACGACCCCTTCAAACGCAGCGCAGACTCGGAGTTGAAGGCTCTGGTGTGCATGGCCCTGAACGAGCAGCGCCTGGTGTCCTGGATGAATCTCATCTGCAAGTCAGGCTCGCTCATCGAGCCCCACTACCAGCCCTGGAGCTACATGGCCCACACGGGCTTCGAGAGCGCCCTCAACCTCCTCAGCCGCCTCAGCAGCCTCAAGTTCAGCCTCCCTGTAGATCTGGCCGTGCGCCAGCTCAAGAACATCAAAGATGCCTTTTAGGGAGGACGCCCTGGCTCTGGGCCTGCCCTTTGCTCAGTAAGGGTGGACGAGTCAGTCTTCCAGGGAGGGGCAGGGAGTCAGAGCAGGGGTTAAAGACATGCGTCCCTGCACCCCACTGCGGTGGCCCACTGAGTAAGTGCAAAGTCTTTTCCCACCAACTTAGCATCTGACAGAGATGTGCTGGAGCCCACGCCCCAGTGTGTGACCATGGTGTGCATGTGGGTGTCCGTGGCACTCACATGTTTTGAAGCCATTAAAGAAATGAGTCGTGGCCTACACCTGATGCCCCAGCTCGCCATGCCACATCTGATTTTTAGAAAACAACGTAGGTTCCTCTATTATCTTTATGATGATGAGTGACAACATAACTGAGTTTCTTATTGGAAGACATTCAGCTTGAGGCTCCTGCTAGTCAAGTTGGGAGCCATCTTCTTTCCATTGAAGCAGGCTTAAGAGTCCTGAGGCCTGAATTCATGCCCTTCGTGCACACTCATCCCCTTCTTTCTGGCCCCAAGCTCGGGGGGAGACGTGGATGTTCCTGGCTGCCTCTAAAATTAGGAATAAGAATATCTGAGGGCATTTCTAAGGGATTTTAATAGAAACCTCTTCCCTGGTAGAAATGGGAACTGAAGTCTTCCTGACAGGGTCGTTCTTCCCTCACAGCACAGGTGCCAGCCTTCGTACCAGCAGTGAGAGCTCTACATCGGCACCAAGCCTGGGGCACGCATACACTCCTCTGCGGTCCCAGTGAGTAAGTGTCCTTGGGATTCCTCCCTCAGCCCTCTGGGAGGACTCGTGTACACTAGGCCGTGCAGGAACACCTGCCCGCAGCAGCCAGATGCCCCTCAGTCCTAGAGGCTGGAGGGTCCAATCTCACACTTGGGAGTGGGTACCAGATCAGACCCCTGTGCAGATTGCTGGGCTGAGTATTTTGTTGACAAACTGGGTCTTTTTGAAGCCTCCATGTTTCAACCCTTCAGCTAATGGAGGTTCCTGCCCCAGGGCTGACAGGCATCCTCCCACGAACATTGCCAACTCAGCGAAGCTTACCTGGGTCCCCTTGCCAGCTGCACTTTGTTTCTGCCCTGTTGAGTGGCGCATTTTAACTTAAATTCTCTTCAGGAACGTTTAATTTATTTAAGCTGCATTATTGATACTTCATTAGAATTAATCTGCCTTCCCTGAGAGACATAACAGGTGTAAAATGTTATGTACCTGTGGTTGTTAATAAAATTCTGGTATTTTGCGTAGCTTCTTTGGGGAGCCCTGCACTGCTCTACATGTCTGCTGGCCTTCTTGGCCAGTCCGATCCAGATCCATTTGTCTTCAAGAACCAGCTGCTTCCTCTTTTCCCATGGAACAAGTCAGATCTGGTGGTGGAAGTGTTGGGTTTTTATTTTTTAATGTCAACAAGTTCACCAAAAATGCCCCTGTGGCGTCATCTTTACCCTTTCCTCAGCGTAAGTCTCATCCCTGTGCCACATGTTGCTTTTGAAATTGGCCATTGTTAAATCCCTTTGGGGCCAGTGTGTGGCATAGCGAATTAAGCCACCCCATGCAACACCAATGGGTTGCAATCAGTATCACAGTGCCAGTTTGAGTTCTAGCTGTTCCACTATGAATCCAGCTTGCTGCTAACTCACCTGGGAATGCAGCAAAAGATGCCCCAAGACCATGGTCCTGGATTTGAGCTAGCCCAGCCCTGGCTGTTGTCACCATTTAGGGAGTGAACCAGCATGTGGAGGACACCTCTGTGTAGTAATGGTATAGCCATATAGCATAGTCTTGACAGCACCTCAGTATTTTTCTAGTCCTCCCAAAATTGTTATACCTTTATGCTTGCATCATAGGAAACATTTTTTTTTTAATTTAGTTGAAATGTAGAGTGACAGATTTTCCATCTGCTAGTTCAGTCCTCAGAGTTCCACAACAGTAGCAGTGGGCCGCGTTGAAGCTACGAGCCAAGAGCTCCATTCAAGGCTGCCTCCCAGGCACATCAGTAGGAAAGTGGATGGGAAACCAGGGTAAGACCTGATCCAGTGCTGCACCACAACACCTGCCGCACAGGAGGCATTGCTCTCCATCTCATGAGCTGTAAGGTGGGACTGTCCTGCCGCCACATTTGTTTCAAAGACTGATCCACACGAGACATCTTGCATCCAGTCATGCACAACCCAAATGGCTGCAATAGCCAAGGCTGGTGCCTGGAGCCAGGAACCCCGTCCAGGTCTCCCACATGAGTGGCAGGTACTTCAACTATCATTATCTTAGATCAGCAGCAGAGCAACCAGGACTTGAAATGTCACCCCGCTATACAATGCTAGCATTGCAAAGTAGCAGCTTTAACTAGCAATGCCTTCCGCAAAAGATTTGCCTGGCAGGTGACCTTTCAAATCAAGAAAAAAACCTCCAGTTGGAGGTGCTTTTCAAAATAAGCATCCCAAACTAATTACCCTCACAAAAGCTCAAAGAGGAACTGGAGAGGAAGCTAAAGCCCAATCAGATGGGAAAGGAGAGAAAAGGGAGAGTTCAAGACCACAAGGCAAAACGCGTAGTATGTAGTTGATAATTTGAGAACAATCTTGATTATATGAATCTAGGATTTCATTCCCATTTAAAGTTGGAGCTGGCATGATGACATATCCGTCTAATCCTCTACCTGCAAGTGCCGGGATCCCATATGGGCGCCACTTCTAATTCGGTGGCCCTGCTTCCCATCCAGCTCCCTGGGGAGTGAATCAGCGGATGGAAGGTCTTCCTCTCTGTCTCTCCTCTCTGTATATCTGACTTTGCAATAAAAATAAATAAATCTTAAAAAAGAACAGGGAAATAGATAAAGTTGACACAGGGCCAACCTGATCATCACTCACCTCTGTCACACTTGTTTCTGTTGGTTACAATCAGTGACACCAGGAGCTGGGTTGTGGGGGTAAAACTGCCACCTGCAGTGCCAGCATTCCGTCTGGGTGCCAGTTCAAGTCCTGGCTGCTCCACTTCTTATCTAGCTCCTTGCTAATGACCTGCGGAAAGCCACAGAACAAGACCCAAGTCCTTTGGTTCCTGGAGGACACTCCTGGCTTCTGGCTTTGGTCTGGTCCAGTTCCGGCTGCTGTGGCCAGTTGCGGAGTAAATTATGGATGGAAGATTTTTCTCTCTCGCTCGCTCTGTCTCCATTACTTTGCCTTTTAAATAATTAAATTTTTTAAACAATAGTACCATTTTTTGGTCTTCCCCACTTACCTCATTTTTATCCTAGTTTGTTCCCTGCATCTTCCAAGACTAAAAAGGAATTTTCAGGAATTTTTAATTTGCTTCCTCTGTCTCCCTTTCAAATAAATAAAAGTAATTAAAAAAAAAAGAGGTAATTTCAGACCGCATCCTCCATCTAGCGCCCGAGAGCCGAAAATGCATATCCATCTACCTCCCGCCTCTTCCCCCTGGCCGCGTTGGCTTTTGTCTATTCCTGGAGCTGCTAATAAAGTTTGATTCAAATACGTGCGCCGCCAGGTCCTACTTTCCCCTCAGGAACTACTTCCGCCCGTAACGTAAACGCTCAGCGCCCACAGGCTGCGTGTCGCGAGCTGAGAGGCGGGACAGGAAGTGAGATCACCCGCCCCATGGGTGAAAGGTTGGCGGAAGTGCACTCCCTTCCTTCTTTGCTGTAGGCCCTAGTGGCTGCCGTCGGTAAGTTGAGGTTTGGCCTTGGTCTTGCAATCTGTCGCCATCCAGGATCCGGGGACGCTCCTTGCGGGGCTGCCGCGGTTCGTTGCGTCGGTGGGTCTCTGACGTCTTCGTATCGGATGTTGACTTTGCCGGGACGGCAATGCTGGGCCCTCGACGTGGGCTGGCCTGGGCAGGCGGGACTCGGCGCGGAGCTCCGGTGTTGCCCGATACCTGAGCGGCTCTTTCTCCCTCCTCTCTGCAGAAATGGGCAAGTTCATGAAACCCGGGAAGGTGGTGCTGGTCCTGGCCGGACGCTACTCGGGACGCAAAGCCGTGATCGTGAAGGTGGGAGCGGGGACGGAGGTGGTCCCGGGGGGCCGAGATGCCGGGGGTCGGCCCTGAGCTGTGGCCGGAGGTCCTCGGGGGACAGGGGTGGCCGAGGTGCCGGGGATCGGCGCTGAGCTGTGGCCGGGGTGGCCCCGGGGGTCGGCGCTGCAGCCGCTGAGCTGTGGCCGGGGGTCCTCGGGGTACAGGGGTGGCCGAAGTGCCGGGGATCGGCGCTGAGCTGTGGCCGGGGTCCTCGGGGGACAGGGGTGGCCCCGGGGGTCGGCGCTGCAGCCGCTGAGCTGTGGCCTGGGGTCCTCGGGGAACATGGGAGGCCGAGATGCCGGGGGTCGGCGCTGCAGCCCCCGACTGTCTGGGAGAGGGGAAGGTGCAGGGGACACCCGGTAGGTGTGTGGCCCGTGGTGTGTTCCGGCCTTTCCCCCGGAGGTTTTCCTGGGAATGTCGCCCAGGGGGAGCCGGCGCTGTGTGCTGCCCATCTGAGGTGTGGAGTGGGGGCCGGGAGTGTTGTGTCTCCCCGGCTGCCCTCACGTTCCTAACAAACCCCGTGCCGTGTGGCTTGTTCAGAACATCGACGATGGCACCTCGGACCGCCCCTACAGCCACGCGCTGGTGGCCGGCATCGACCGCTATCCCCGCAAAGTCACAGCCGCCATGGGCAAGAAGAAGATCGCCAAACGCTCCAAGATCAAGTCGTTCGTGAAGGTTTATAACTACAACCACCTCATGCCCACCAGGTGCGCAGGGCTGCCCAGCCAGGTCTTTGATTTCTCAATCCAGGGCCTAGAAGGGGACATGGGTTTGTAAAGTGGCTGTGGTCCCCAGTCCCCCCATCTTGTCCTTCCTTCCCTGACTTTACTGAGCAGCGCTGAGAATTCCTTGTGCTGGGAAGGGGTGGATGCTGTGGTACAGCGGGTGGAGTTCTTGCTCCTGCTTTTGTCCTGGGTGCTCCAGGAATGGGGTGGGTAGATTCTCCCAGTGCTGGGGTGTGGTGCCATAGAGAGAGGCAGCAGCAGGCTGCCTGGCTTTTGTGTTGGCAGATGAGTATAGAAAATGAGAATTTCCACAATTTGAGCCTAGCATGCTCAGGTTCACTCAGTGCTTTACAGCCGCAAGTCCAGGTGTCAGTGATGGTCAGAACTGGGCTGGGCCCAAACAGGGAGCCAGAAACTCCGTCCAGGTGCCCCACATGGTGGTAGCCCCCCACATGCAGCTTCAGCATGGTGTTAATGGCTGTGTCTGGGAGCTCTGTCCCAGTGGGCCAGGGCCTGAAGAGGCTGCTCCGGAGGGTCAGGGGAGTCCTGCCGCATGCAGACGGCCTGAGCCTGCCTCGTCTCCAGGTACTCCGTGGATATCCCCTTGGACAAAACTGTGGTGAACAAGGATGTCTTCAGAGACCCTGCTCTGAAACGCAAGGCCCGGCGGGAGGCCAAGATCAAGTTTGAGGAGAGGTGAGGAGCTTTGAGGGTGGGGCTGGGCAGTTTTGTCCTTCTGTTCCCTTCTTCACAGATATCCTCCTTCCCTTCCAGGTACAAGACTGGCAAAAACAAGTGGTTCTTCCAAAAGCTGCGGTTTTAGATATTGTTTCTTGTTCCGCTCATTAAAGACTTTAAAAAAAGAAGTTGTTTACCTGCTGCATGTTTTAGCCCATTGGGCATTCACAGGTGGTGGCTGAGAGTCAAGAGGGGAGTTAAAGACAAGCTTGTGAGGCTGTCTTTGGCCTGGTTATCTTTTCTTTTTATTTTTTTAAGATTATTCATTTTTATTGGAAACAAATTATATGCATACAAGAAGAGGAAGATCTTCCATCCAATGATTTACCAAGTGACTGTAACGACTGGAGCTGAGCTGCTTTGAGGCCAGGAGCCAGGAACCTCTCCCAGGTCTCCCACACAGGTGCACGGTCCCAAGGCTTTGGGCCGTCCTCGAATACTTTCCCAGGCCACAAGCAGGGAGCTGGATAGGAAGCAGGGCTGCCTGGATTAGAAGTGGCACCCACATGAGATTCCAGTGTGTTCAAGGCGAGGACTTCAGTTGCTAGGCCATTAGACTACCGTGCCACATCCCCTTTTAAAGATTTACTTATTTTTATTCAAAAGACATGGACTGGACACCGGTTCTAATCCTGGCAGCCCTGCTTCCCATCCAGCTCCCTCCCTGTGGCTCGGGAAGGACCGCCCAGGGCTTTGGGACCCTGCACCCATGTGGGATACCCGGAAGAGGTTCCTGGCTCCTGGCTTTGGATCAGCACAGCACTGGCCATTGCAGTCACTTGGGGAGTGAATCATCGGGTGGAAGATCTTCCTCTCTGTATATCCACCTTTCCAATAAAAATTAAAAATAAAATCTTCAAAAAAAAAAAAAAGAAATGGGCAGGAAGATTTTCTGTCTACTGTTTCATTCGCCAAATGGCTGCAGTGTCCAAAACTGATCTGGTTAGGAGTCAGGAGCTTCTAGCTCTCCCATGAGGGTACAGCATCCCCAAGCTTTGGGCCATTCTCTACTGCTTTCCCAAGCCACAGCGGAGAGCTGGATGCAAAGTGGAGCAACCAGGACATGAGCTGGTGCCCATGTGGGATCCTGAGTCATGCAAGTCAAAGAGTTAGCCACCAAGTTACCATGTCTAGCCTAAAGTTTTGTTTTTAAGAGGGAGAGGCAGAGCTTCACCTGCCGTTTTAATTCCTCAGAGCTGAGCTGGTCTGGAGCCAGGAGCTCCTTCTGGATCTCCCTAATGGTTGCAGAGACCCAAGGACTTTCGAGGCCAGAGGCAGCCAGTTAGCAAGTGGTGTAGCTGGGTCTAAACCTGAGCTCATGTGCGATGCCAGTGTCACAGGCAGGACAGGGGCTTAGTCTAGTACATCATGGTGCTGGCTGTGGCCTAGTTGCTTTTCAGGAGGCTGGCTGCCCTTTGTCATCTAAACTGTCAACTGACTTGTACTTGGTACATGTCGGAGGAACCAAAACTATTGCCCTTCCTCACCAGCAGTTACAGGGGTCTCAACCCAGCACACGTATGGGCACCAGTTTAGTCCCAGCTGCTTGCTCAAGTCCTTGGGACCATGCAGCAGATGAGAGATTCAGAAGAATCACATCAGGATCAGCTCGACTCTAGTTGGTGCAGCCATTTGGGGAGTAAAGCAACACATGGCAAATTTCTGGGTAATATTATGCTCTTAAATATTTTTTTAAAGGTTTATTTTTATTACAAAGTCAGATATATAGAGAGGAAGATCTTCGGTCCAATGATTCACTCCCCAAGTGACCGCTATGGCCAGTGCTGCGCCGATCCAAAGCCGGGAGGAAGCAACCTCTTCCGAGTCTCCCACACGGGTGCAGGATCCCAAAGCTTTGGGCCATCTTCAGCTGCTTTCCCAGGCCACAAGCAGGGAGCTGGATGGGAAGCGGGGCTGCCAGGATTAGAACCGGCACCCATATGGGATCCTGGTGCATTCAAGGCGAGGACTTTAGCTGCTAGGCCACAAAACTGGGTCATCGTCATTAGAACTGGGATGGAAAAGCAGGCTTGGTAAGCGAGCGAGTTCCTGGAACAAAAGTGTTAAGGAACAAATCCTGCTTTGTGTGCATTTCCCAGGCCAGGGTCACCAAAATGGGAACAGGTATTTTATCTCAAGTCCTAAGTTAAAATACTGTCCCAGAGATGGATGTCTGCTTTTCTGTTCTCTGGTGATGTGACCTTGAACAAAAGATTTTTTGAGGACTGGATATATGTAAAGTACCATGACAGGCTTTAAACTCCCAAATGATGGATATCCTTAGAGCTTCAAGAATTTGTGGTAGGCTGTGTCGGCCCTGGTGGTATGACCCAGCTGAATTGTCTCATGGACGTTTGTAAGTCCTCAGCCTCTGCAGGTCTCCAGGAAGATGGTGCAGATTGCACCCGGCAGCTTATACTGGTCCCCCCTTGCTGGGATCAGCCTTGCTGCCAGGAGCCATGTGGCCATTGCCTTTGAAGTCTGCTGGCAGGGCGGAGCCAGCATCAAGAGAGACTCCGCCTGGGGGCGGGCCATTGTGCTGAGGCTTTCCAGAAGCGAAAGTGGAAGTGGGGAGCCAGCCAGCACCTTCCAAAGTGTAATTAATGCCGCTTGGCTGGGGAGGACCCTTCACAGATCCTGTCTCTTCGTGGTCACCTCTGAAGCCTCAGACACATGGACCCCAGACCAGCATCTATGAACCTGACTGTGAGTGAGGGGCAAGGTGCTAGGGTAGCGAGAAGCCACAGGGGCTGTAGGCTGGGAAGATGCAGGAGTCTGGGGAGTCCTGCCTGTCCCTTCCCTATTGGACTGAGCTCCGGGAAGAGAGTGGTGTTAGGGTGCCCGGTGGGCCATAAGCACTCAGGAAACACGGGTAAGTGAATGGACCATGTCCTTTAGTTTCTCTGCCTTTTCCTCCCTCATAAGTAGGAAGGGACTTCAGATTTTTTCAAGATGTATTTAGGTTTTTTTAAAAAGATTTATTTTTTTTTTATTGCAAAGTCAGATATACAGAGAGAAAGATCTTTCATCCGATGATTCACTCCCCAAAGTGGCCGCAACGGCCAGAGCTGAGCCATTCTGAGGCCAGTTGGTCTCGAGACTCTTCTGGGTCTCCTACACGAGTGTAGGGTCCCAAGGCTTTGGGCCGTCCGCCTCTGCTTTCCCAGGCCACAAGCAGGGAGCTGGATGGGAAATGGAGCTAGCGGGATTATAACCATCACCCATATGACATCCCAGTGTTTTCAAGGTGAGGACTTTAGCCAATAGGCCACCGCGCCAGGCCCTGTATATATTTTTATTGAAAAAGAAATCTCCCGAAATTCCCGGCGCAATAGCATAGCAGTTAAGGTCCTCACCTTGAATGCGCTGGAATCCCATATGGGAACTGGTTCTAGTCCTGGCGGTCCTGCTTCCCATCCAGCTCTTTCCAAGGTGAAAGAGAAAAGAGAAAGATCTTCCATCTACTGCTTCACTCCCCCGATGATTGCAATGGCCAGAGCTGAGCTGATCTGAAGCCAGAGCTGCTTTTGGGTCTCCTATGAGTCTTCCCTGCGACTGGCCTTCCAGGGGCTCACCCAGTGCAGTGGCCTAGAGACAAGTCCTCAACCTTGTAACTGCCAGGATCCCATATGGGCACCAGTTCCCATCCAGCTCCCTACTTGTGGCTTGGGAAAGCAGTGGAGGACAGCTCAAAGCTTTGGGACCCTGCACCTGTATGGGAGACCTAGAGGAACTTCCTGGCTCCCGGCTTTGGATCGGCTCAGTTTCGGCTGTTGTGGTCACTTGGGGAGTGAATCAGCGGATGGAAGATCTTCCTCTCTATCTCTCCTCCTCTCTATATATCTGACTTTGCAATCAAAATTAAATCTTAAAAAAAAAAAAAACCCCAAAACTTGTCACATCATCAGGGACACCTCTCTTTGTCCTCCGTGTTTCTTTCACTCCTTCAGTGTCAGTCTGTCTGGTCTGATGACTTCTCTCTGCTGTCACAGGGTCCAGGCCACCTGGTGCCCATTCACTGATGCTGGGCTCCTGCCCTCTCTGCTCACCTGTGTATTCACACAACAGCCCACTGTTCTTGTTTAAGCATCAGGCTGGCCTTGGCATCCCCTCTGTTGTGTTTTCCAAGTTCATCCCCATCCCCTAACCCCTTGCTTATTCTGCTCTAGCCCGCGTGCTGCTCCTCAGAGCCACCCGACACTCCCCCTGCTCTGAGCTCTTGCACCAGCTGTTCCCTTGGCATAGAACTTTCCCCAGATGTCGGCCCAGCTGGCTCCTTCACCTCCATCTTCATCATCCTCACCTCCCTCGCCCTCCCGGCTTCCCTGTTCTGTTTCTGTAGCACTTAGCACTGGTGTATGGTGGGCTCACCTGCGCATTGCCTTAACCACCCAGCTTGTCTCAGGACAAGCCCCCTCGGGAGGGTTTGTCTTGGAATCCCCAGGGCCTAGAACAGGATAAATGCACTTGCTCAGTGCTCACTATCCAATTTTAAAGTTTTTGAGGATGTTTACTTAGTTGATCAGGGAGGGAAGGATCGAGGGTTAGGGAGAAGTGGGTGTGATCATTATTTTCAAATTTTCTATTTCTTCTTTATCTGGGTGAGGATAAGGGAGGAAACCATACTCGGCCTTCTACCTGCTCCGGTGCCCAGGGATGGGAACGCCCTCATGATAATGGCCCAGGTCCCCAGTGTGGCACATGGCGCTGAGGGTTCTGCCCAAGTGGTTTCACTAGTTCTGAAATGCTGTCAATCTTGCCCATCCAGGGATGAGGAATACCTTCCAATGTCCAGTGGTTCACATAGTCACCCTTAGAGTCCCCATTTGCCCAGATATTTGCTGTCACCGTTTGGATGGGGTAGTTGTCCAACAGTTCTCTTCTGCAGGCCCCCACTGGGCTACCTTACCCTCCACATGCATCTGGGCCAGCTCCACTGCTTCGTCTTTTCCACTGTGAAGGCCCAGCTCTGACACATGAACTCTACAGTCAGACCACTGATCCTGGATGTGACTCCAGACCCCTGTATGCCCCCACCTGTGCCATCGCCAGACCCCTGCGTGCCCACGCACCAAGCCCACATAAGCATGTTCCTAGGTGGTCAGTGAACTTGCCCTGGTGCCACTGGCACACTGGGCCACCCAATCAGGGCCCCCTAAAGCTGGGGCTTGTGGACTGGCACCCACTGCACAGGGAGGCATAAGGATCCAGGCAGGTGTCTCAGGCCCTACTGGAAGTCCCCACCCCCAGGGCTCACAGACCAGGCTCTCATTGCCCCATGGGCCCAAGGCCTGGGCCAGCTGACCTGGGTCTCACTGGACTGCCTGCTCCTGGGGCTCACGGACCAGACACTCACCACACAGCAAGCCCAAAGACCCAGGCCAGACAACCCAGGTCCTGCTGCACTTTCTATCTCCAGGGTTCACAGACCAGGCACCCACCCACTGGTGGGCCCAAGGACCCATAGCCAATTGTTTTGAGTTCTTGAATTTTTAATTTATGGGCTGGCATTGTGGTATAATAGGTTAAACTTCTACCTGCTGTGACACTAGCATCCCATTTGGGCACACGTTTGAATCCTGGCTGTTCTACTTCTTTTTTGTTGTTGTTGTTACTATTTTTTATTTTTGGAAAGAAGAAGGAAGGAGGAAGGAGAGAAGGAAGGAAAAAGGGAAAGAAGGAAGGAAGCACTGTTCCACTTCTGGTCCAGCTCCCTGGCACTGTGCCTGAGAAAGCACAGGAAAATGGCCCAACTCCTTGGGCCACCCACATGGGAGACCCAGAAGAGGCTCCAGACCCCAGCGTTGGGCTGGCCTGGTGCTGGCTGTTGTGGTCATTCGGGGAGTGGACTAGCTGAAGAAGAGAAGAGCTCTCATTTCCTCTCTGTTACTCTTTTAAATAAATACATAAATCTCTATGAAAGTTTTTTTTAAAGAGTTATTTTATTTTTTATTAGAAAGCCAGATATACAGGCAGGAGGAGAGACAGAGAAGAAGATCTTCCATCCGATGATTCACTCCCCAAGTGAGCACAACGGCTGGTGCTGCGCCGATCCAAAGCCAGGAGCCAGGAACTTCTTCCAGGTCTCCCACGTGGGTGCAGGGTCCCAAGGCTTTGGGCCATCATCGACTTCTTTCCCAGGCCACAAGCAGGGAGCTAGATGGGAAGTGGAGCTGGCAGGATTAGAACAGGCGCCTGTATGGGATCCCAACACGTTCAAGGCGAGGACTTTAGCTGCTAGCCACCATGCCAGGCCCTAAATCTGACTTTCTAATAAAAGAAAATAAATATTTAAAAATAAAAATATAAATTAATTAATTAATAAGGAAAGCTGAGATGTTGCCATGAGAATGAAGCTGTGATCCTGGCATGGTGACCTACTCTAAAGTCCTCGCCTTGCAAGTGCTGTCCTCCCATACAGGCGCCAGTTCTGGTCCCGGCGACCCTGTTTCCCATCTAGCTCCCTGCTTGTGGCCTGGAAAAGCAGTCGAGGACAACCTGAAGCTTTGGGACCCTGCACCCTCATGGGAGTCCCAGAAGAAGCTCCTGGCTTTGGCTTTGGATCAGCTCAGCTCCGACCTTTGTAGTTACTTGGAGAGTGAATCATTGGACACAAGATCTTTCTGACTTTTCTCCTCTCTGTATATCTGATTTTGCAATATAAATAAATAAATCTTAAAAAAGAAAAAAAGAATGGAGCTGTGTAATATGCATGAAGGACTCAGCGTGGTGTCTGGCCCAGTATGGCTAGCAGTGTGACAGCTGGCCTTCCTCAAGGTGGTGTCTTCCTCCAAACACCTGGCCCCCTGTAGAACCAAATCCTTTCCTTCTACCGCCCCCTGTCAGCACCAGCACCCTGTCACTGTTTCACTCCAGATTTGTCACAAGGAAGCAGCTGTGGCTCTGCCCTTTGGCTGAGCTGTGGCTAGCCATGCCCTGGGTACAGTGGGCCAAGATCCATCCAGACCTGAACAGAGGGGTGCAGCCACTTTGGGTTGAACGACAACTCCCGTTCTTGGGTCCAGAGTGCCCACTGCTCGCCTGGGCAGGTTCATTCCCCAGAGGCAGGTACATGAATGGCTGTTCCCTTCTTCTGTAGGTCCTCCACGCCCTGCAGGAGGAGCAGGCCAGGCTGAACATGAGACTGGAGGAGCTGAAAAGGAAGTGCAAGGACTTCCCCAAAGACAAGGTAAGGTGAGAAATGGAGTACGGTTTTGTAGGAATGAGCTGGAGATGAGGCCGGCACAATGGCATAGCAAGCCAAGCCTCTGCCTATGTCTCCAGTTTCTCAAATGGCCACTAAGTCAAGTCCCAACTGCACCTGGAGAACAGTGGAGGACAGCTCAAGGCCTTGCATATATGTGAGAGACCGAGAAAAAGTTCTTGGCTCCTGGCTTTGGATCGGCTCAGCTCCAATTGTTGTGGCCATGTGGAGAGTGAACTTTTTTGCTTAATTTATTTGCTTTTATTGGAAAGGCAGATTTACAGAGAGAAGGAGAGACATCTTTCTTTTTTGCGATAATTTTATTTTGTGTGGGGGAGGGGCGGTGGCGGCTCAGAACTTCTGCACCTGTTTCTTGGTGCCGGTGACCTTGTTGACTTTGAGCACGTTGAAGTCCTGGTCTTGCTGAGGGGCCAGCACTCGCCCACCATGACACGATGATGTCCCCAATCTGGACGTCCCTGAAGCAGGGCGACAGGTGCACCAACATGTTCTTAGGCACTTCTCAAAGCGGTTGTACTTCCGGATGTAGTGCAGATAGTCCTGGTGGATGACAGTGGTCCTTTGCATCTTCATCTTGGTCACCATGTCCGACAGGATCCTCCCCCAGATGGACATGTTTCCGGTGAAGGGGCATTTCTTATCAATGTAGGTGCCCTCAATAGCCTCCTTGAGTCTCTTGAAACCCAGTCCGATGTTCTTGTAGTAGTGTGGGAGCTTCTCCTGGAGAGACAGATGTTTTATCTGCTGGTTCACTCCCCAAGTGGCCACAATGGCTGGAGCTGAGCCGATCTGAAGCCAGGAGGCAGGAGTTTCTTCCCGTGTAGGTGCAGGGTCCCAAGGCTTTGGGATATCCTCTACTGCTTTCCCAGGCCACAAGCAGGGAGTTGGACTGGAAGTGGGCAACTGGGACACAAACCAGCACCTTTATGGGGTACCAGCACTTGCAAGGTTAGTATTTAGCCACTAGGCCATTGTACTGGGACAGGATGGAAGATCTGTCTCTTCTTTGCAAACCTGCCTTTCCAATTAAAATAAAGAAATCTTAAAAGAAAGAAACAACTTTGGGGACCTGCATTGCGGTACAATGGGTTAGAGTTGCTGCCTCCAGTGTCAGCATGCTGGATCCCAGTGTTGGTTTGAGTCCTGAGTACTCCATTTCTAATCCAGCTTCCTAATGAAGGCCTGGAAAGGCCTCAATCATGGGGACCATTTTAGGAAGTACACCAAAAGAGGAATTTCTCTCCATGCTCTCAAATGGATCAACTGATCCACCCCCACCCCAACAACAACAACAAAATTTTAAAGTTCCCAGTGTGCACCTGAGCTATATCCTACATCTGTGCGCAGCGTTGGCTCAGCTTTGCTTGCAGTACATCCATTCAACCCTGGCAGGTGGCGTCATTGAATAGGATTAGGGTGCCCTCCACCTGGGAGTGACCAGGAAATGTGCTTGCCCTTGGGGGTTCTCAGCTTTCCATCCTCCACTCCAGGGTCCGTTCCCAATGCCTGAAATCCCCCTGGTATTCCGAGGACACACTCAGCAGGACAAGAAGGTCTCCAAGCCTTTGATTTCCAACCTGCAGATCTGCTGTCCTCTGCCTGGAGGCTCTGCCCTGGTCACTTTCGATGATCCCAAAGGTGAGCTGGAGTGAAGGGGCCTCCGGTGGGGGAGCTGGGCAGCTTCCAGGCACTGACCTGTTCTCCTTGCTGCCCAGTGGCTGAGCAGGTGCTGCGACAGAAGAAGCATCAGATTGACATGGAGGAGTGTCAGCTGAAGGTGCAGGTCCAGCCTGTGGAGCTTCCCATGGTAACCTCCATCCAGGTGACGCAGCACAGGGGCCTGGGGCATGCAAGGGCTGTGAGGCTAGGACTGGGATCAAGGCCCTCTCTCCTCCCTTCTGCTGCTACAGGTGTGCAACCAGAAGAGCAGCTGCATGGTGCTGGTCAGCGGGTTTCCAACCGGGCTTAGGCTGAAGGAGGAGGAGCTGCTGGACAAGCTGGAGATCTTCTTTGGCAAGGCCAGGAACGGGGGTGGGGACGTGGAAACTCGCGAGCTGCTGCAAGGGAGCGCCATACTAGGATTCATGAAAGAGGAAGGTAAGGCAGCCCTGAGACTTCTGCCTGGAAAAGGAGGGCGCAAGGTGCATGAGGCTAAAGTCCACCCCTTCTCTCATTCCCCAGTGGCCCAGCGCCTCTGCCAGATCGGCCAGTTCAGAGTGCCCCTGGGCGGGAAGGAGGTCCCGCTAACAGTCTCTCCCTACATGAGCGGGAAGATCCAGGACATTAAGGTAAGCAGGAGAAGGGGAACTGGTCCAGGGAACCTGTTTCTCATTCCCAAATCATACCGACCCACCTACTGCCAGCTTTTCTGTGTTCTTCTGCATCCCCACCTGTTGCTGCCCGTTCCAGCCTCTGCTCCCATGAGCCTTTGCTATCTCCCCCACACCACCTCTTCCAGGTCACCTCCCAGCAAGTTCCTCGCTCGGTGCTGGTGCTCAACATTCCTGACGTCCTGGACGGCCCAGAGCTGCATGACCTCCTGGAAATCCACTTTCAGAAGCCCACTCGTGGGGGTGGGGAGGTGGAGGCCCTGGCCGTGGTGCCCACGGGACAGCGGGGCCTAGCGGTCTTCACCCTGGAGTCCAGCTAGGGGAGCTCTTCTCAGGACTCCCAACTCCAGCCCCTGGCTGAGGTTCCCAGGCTGCAAGCTTCACGTTGGCCAGCAGGGGGCAGCCATTGCAACAGACTGAATGCAGAACAGTAAAATGTGCCTGCACAGCTGGGCGGTGTTATTCCTCATTTCATTCAAAAAAAGGAAACTCGAATCAGGCAGACACCCCGACTTTGCAGGCTTCCCTTCCTCTCCACCCCAGGAAGCAGCATCCAGGAGCCTGGGTTTAGCTTTTTATTGACACAAACACAAAGGCAGCTGTGGTAATGGGGTGGGGTACACAAAAGCAGAAATGGCGCTTTCTGCGTTTGGGCCTCATGGAGACTATGCGGAGCCTGAGCCCTCCCTTCCTGCTCCCCAGCAATGGCTGGAACCATGACCCTCCCACATCCCAGCTCCCTCAATCTTGGCAGGTCCCCACTTGGATTCCTGCAGCCCAGGTCCTCTCCCAGTGCACCCACCCTCCCTTGCTGCATCTCAGCACCCACTGGAGCCAGGCTCGAGCTTCCCCGGGGAATGTGCTTGTAACTCCACTGTGGTCCCAGGACTGGCAGGGGCACACTGGACACTGGCTTTCGGGGCTTTGGCTGGGAAATGCTGCACTCATGTGCAAGACCGGGGAATCTCTGCCCACTCGTGATTGGAACAGCCAGCAGCCACAGTGAGGGCCACTGCTTCCACCCCGGCCCTCCCACCCACTGGCACATACACAGATTTTTGGCAGTGCTGTCGGACTGGAGTGGCAGAAAACCCCAGTTCCACCAGAACAAGGAAGGCACTGGGGGGGTTGGAGGGAGACTGTGTGGAGGAGGAGGAGGTCAGAGTCAGGGTCCCTCCCCACCACACACACATACACACACACACACCAACGCACAGGTTTCCTGCGGCTAAGGCACTGAGAACAAACACAGAGGCCTCAGTGAAAGGTGGGAGCGCTGGGAGTCCCCCCCAGGGCTGGGACCCGAGAGGGCGTCCGATGCCTGCCTGTGGTGTTGGAAGAGGCTGCCTTGGTGAGGAGTGACAGAAAACCGGCAGGTGGAAGGAGCCCAATTGTGCTTAAGAAGTTGCGGACAGAAGACAGGGCTGGGACTGGTGGGCGCTGGCTAGCCCCAGCTGCCGGGAGAGACAGGGACACGCTGGACTTGACAGAGATCGGCCCCATAACCTGAGCTGGCATTTCAATTCTTTGGGGGGAGGCAGTGGGGCGGGGGCGGGCAGGAAGATGAGGCAGGGGTGGAAACACACAGAACAGGATGGGGCGGGATTGGCTAACCTTGGCACCAAAGCAGCACAACAGACCCCGAGGGAGCAGGGAAAGGCAGGGAGCAGGAAGCCACCAGCTCCCCCTCTGGCCCTCCCTGTCCCTCTGAAGGGGCCCAGACATCCAAATGGTCACTTCCCAATCTCTGCCGAGAGCAGGAAGGGAAAGGGGGCAGCCTTGACCAATGAGAACGAACAGAGCGGAGGGGCAGTGGCCAGAGACCCTGGGGGAGCGGGTGGGGGGGGAGCGTGATGATGGACGAGGACTTGTGACAGTGTGGTGGTCAGCGGAAGGGGGCTGCACAGCCTCTCCTCTCTCGCTCTCGGGTCCCACGGGCCCTTGCCCTAGTTCTCCTTCTCCGGCCCTGGCACCAGGAGCACCTTGCCCACGTTCTTCTTCTCCTGCATCTGCTTCATGGCATCTACCACCTGCGGGGGGAGGGGCGAGTACTGTTATTAGTATCCACACCCTGCAAGAGGCCCTCCTCTCCACAGCCCTGGGGACCCCAGCCTGCAGCGGTCCTACCCAACACCTTCCCACCCCGACCCCGCTCCGCCCCCTCCAGCAAGGGCAGTGCACCCACCTTCTCGAAGGGCCATACTGAATCGATGCGGGGCTTGATGTGGCCCTGGTTGTAAAGAGCCAGGAGGCGGGCCACCACGCTGCTGACCAGCTCCACCTCGCCATCCAGGTAGCCCAGGTGGAAGCCGCACACAGCGCGGTTGGCCTGTAGCAGCTGCAGGGCCGTCACACTGAACTGGTTCCACCATGTGCGGGCCAGCGCCATCAGGTTCCGCTTGGGGCCCGTCAGCAGGTTGGCCATTCCTGAGGGACAGGATGACACAGCCTGTGAGTCCAAAGCACAGGCGCCTCCCTGCAGTTACTGAGGCCAGCACCGGCTTTCCTCTTACACTGGATATGTTTGGTGTGAAATGGGTTTGTTTTTTCAAAAATTAAAATGCAGTTTGCCTGGGAGGCCTAGGGAGGTAGGGCAGAAGGCAGGCAAATGGGCTGGTTTTATGTTCGAATATCCCCTAACCGGATGTACTGACCCATGTGACAAACAGAATCACAGTGGCTGGTGCCTGCGACCACACTTCCTGCCACTCTTTCCAACCCTGCCCCTACAGAGCACAGGTGGTACATGGAGCCCCAACATGCGAGGGCACTCCTCATCCTGGTGTTCTCCTCAGGGTGTTGCCCCCCACCCCGCCTCCCATCCCTCAGCCCTGTCTTCCTGCTCCCAACTCACCATAGGTGACCACCTTCCCCATGGGCTTCAGGAGGTTGTAGCCCTTGGCGGTATCTGACCCGCCCAGAGGGTCCATGACGATGTCCACTCCTGTCACACAGTGGGGGACCCAGGATCAGGATTAGGGCCCAGGGCTCTGAGTCCCCTCCTTCACCACACCTCAGCCCCTCACTCACCTTTGGGGGAGATCTTCTTGATCTCTTCCACGTAGTCGGTTGTGTGGTAGTCAATGGCATGCGTGACCCCATTCTCTTTCAGCACCTCGTGCTTGCTGGCCGAGGCTGTCCCAAACACTGTCACGTTCTCCACCGTGCGACACAGCTGCAGGGCTGCCATGCCCACGCCCCCTACCGCGAGACCGCTGCCGTGAGCAGGGGACGGACACACAGTCTCCTAGCAACCTCTCTCCACTCTGGCCTCCCAAGGACTCGGCTGGTCCAGCCCCTTTCCAGCACCCATACTCATGTGTCATGGCTGAGAAGGGACTGGCTGCAGAGGAAGAGGGGAGGGCAGAGGACACGCTGCCAAGGACAGAGCACCAGGCTGGACATGGCGCCCGTGTATCACCTCGGCAACCACTCTGCAGAGGCCTCCGCATAGACCAGGCAGCCTGGTGTTGCCATGACAACAGTCCACACAGGCTTCAGAGAAGGAGTCCAGAAAGAAATCTAGGTGGGGTGAGGAGGCAGGGTTGGGGGAGGGGACGCTGGCGGGGACTGAGGCATAACAAGTTGAGCCACCACTGGGTGACCCACATCCCATATCAGAATGCTCTCGTGCTTCCCATCCAGCTCCCTGCTATAACCCTGGGAAGCAGCCAATGGACCCAGCCTATGGTGGGCCCACCACCCAAGGAGACACAGAAATTCCTAGTTCCTGGCTTTGGTCTGGCCAAGCCCTGGCTGTTAACACCCACTCAGAGAGCGAACCAACAGTTTGGACATCTGTCTCTTTCTTTCTCTCCTTCTGCCTTCCAAACAATTAAACTAAAAAAAAGAGAGAGAGATGGCGGGAGGGGCTGGGAAGGGACGTGTCACCTGCTGCCATGTGTATCAAGACGCTGTGGCCAGGCCGCAGGTTGCCGAAGTCAAACAGGATCATGTAGGCTGTGATGTAATTGACCAGCAAGGCAGCAGCTTCCTCAAAGGTCATGGCCTCAGGCATCAGGAAGGTCTGGGCCGCGGGCACAGTTACCTCCTCTTGCCACATGCCTGACCGGTTTAGCACCATCACCCGGTCCCCTGTCTTGAAGCATGGAAGAAGGTTCAGTTATTCATTGGTCGGCCTGCAGCATACTACTCCCGTTAGTAGGAGAGCCTCTGGGAGAGCAGACAGGCAGCCATGGTGGGGCATGGTCGTCACGCCTTCCTTTACCCAGCAGCACACACGCCCAGGTCCATTCCCGGGACCTCCAGCAACAAAGCTCCAGGCTCCCCCTGTTCTACCCTTACCTCCCAGAGCTGACATTTTCCTATTATGTAAGACCCCTAACTGCAAGAAGCCTGTGGTTGGGGCATGTAGATTGTGAAAGAGACCCAACTGCTTGGGTTACAGAAATGGCACTGCTCTTCAAAAGGCCAGTGTGACTTTAGCAAATAAAAAAATGACTGAATCAGGCCAGGTGCAGTAACCTAGTAGCTGAAGTCCTCACATTGCAAGTGCACTGGGATCCCATATGGATGCAGGTTCTAATCCTGGCGGCCCTGCTTCCCATCCAGCTCCCTGTTTGTGGCCTGGGAAAGCAGTTGAGGACAGCCCAAAGCCATGGGACCCTGCACCCACATGAGAGATCTGGAAGAAGCTCTGGGCTCCTGGCTTTGGATCAGTGTAGCTCCGGCCATTGTGGTCACTTGGGGAGTGAATCATTGGACAGAAGATCTTCCTCTGTCTCTCCTCCTCTCTGTATATCTGACTTTCCAATAAAAATAAATCTTTAAAAATGACTGAATCTTCCTTTATCAAGATGGGTGATGTGCGGTGGTCAGTGGCTAAAGTCCTTGCCTTGAACATGCCAGGATCCTATATGGGCGCTGATTCTAATCCCAGTGGCCCTGCTTCCCATCCAGCTCCCTGATTGTGGCCTGGGAAAGCAGTCAAGGACGGGCCAAAACTTTGGGACCCTGCACCCGCGTGGGAGACCTGGAGGGAGTTCCTGGCTTCGGACTGGCAAAGCACCGGCCATTGCGGCTGCTTAGAGAGTGAATCATTGGACAGAAGATCTTCCTGTCTCTCCTCTTCTCTCCATATATCTGACTTTGCAATAAAAATAAATAAATATATCTTTAAAAAAAAAAAGATGGGTGTTGTGCCCTAGCAAGCTAAGCTGCCCCTTGGGACATGTATATCCCACAGAGGAGTGCTTGGTTCCAGTCCTGGCGACTCCACCCTTCCGATCCAGCTTCCTGCTAGTGTACCTGGGGAGCAGTGATGCCGGCCCAAGTTCTTACACAGAGAAGTTCTTGGCTCCTACATTGGCCTGGCCAAGTCCCAGCTATTGCAAGCATTTGGGCAGTGAACCAGCAGATGAAAGGTCTGTCTCTTCCTGTCTGCTTTTTAAATAAATAAACAAACCTTAAAAAAAAAACTTGTAAGGAGCTGACATGGTGGTGCGTTGATTAGGCTGCAGCTGGCTGCACTCTTAGGCCCATCAGAGTATCGGGTTCAGTACTAGCTGCTCTGTCTGATCCAGCCTTCTGCTAAGACATCCTGGGAACCAGCACGTGATGGAGCTCTAGGCTCCTGGCTTCACACTAGCCCAGCCCCAACTATTGCAAGCATTTGGGGGAATGAACCAATGAATGTGTAATATCTATGTCTGCGGATGTTGTCTTGTCTTTCAAGTAGATAAAAACATAAAATAACGAATGACATTAAGGTTTTGTTTGAGTGGTAGAGAAAGAGAGTAAATCCGCACTCCCCTGCGCTGGTTCATCTGGAAAGGCCGTGGGGGCTGGAGAGGGATCTGGGCCTCGATTCAGGCTTCCCATGTGGGTGGCAGGAACGCTGACTTGAGCCATCACTGTTGCCTCCCAGGGGCACGAACAGAAAGCTGCAGTCAGAAAGGAGAGGCAGGACCAGGCCTGGTGGCCTAGCGGCTGAAGTCCTCGCCTTGCACGCGCCAGGATCCCATATGGGCACCAGTTCTTGTCCTGCCTGTTCCACTTCCCATCCAGCTTTCTGCTTGTGGCCTGGGAAAGCAGTTGAGGATGGCCCAAAGCCTTGGGACCCTGCACCCACGTGGGAGACCCGGAAGAGGTTCCTGGTTCCTGGCTTTGGATCAGCTCAGCTCTGGCCATTGCAGCCAGATGGAAGATCTTTCTGTTTCTCCTTCTTACTGTAAATATGAACTTCCAATTAAAAAAATAATCTTAAGAAAATAAAGGGGGGGAGGCTCTCTGATGCGGACACAGGCACCTTAATAGGTGTACTACACACCTACCCTGTTTAATCTGAGTTTCAGTTTTCCTATCTGTAAATTGGGGCAATTAAGAGGATTACATGGGGGGCAGGAGGAACCCTCACTCACTGATTTTTCTCAATGTCTGCCGCCTACTGAACACTGGGCACTGGGGAACGTTAGCTAGCAACAACAGCAGCAAGAGCAAACATTAGGAAGGTGTCTGGTCCTGAGCTGAGGACCCAGAGCCCAAGGGGCTGGGTATGATCACTTCGGGAGAAGCAGCGTTTGGGCAAGCACCAAGTGGGGTTCAGAAGGCACTTTCACCCAGCGGCAGTACAGAAGAGGCCCAGGACGACAGCACCCCCACACCAGCAAAAGGCTTTGCCTCACTCCCAGGCACCTGCAGGAGGGAACAAGGGCAAAGGTGACCTTTCCCTCCAGGGAAGGCAGAGCAGGGAAAGAAAAGGTGCGAGCTGAGCTGCTCTGGGATAGTTGGGGTGGGTCTTGGTCCCAGCAAGGATGATGGGAATGTGTGGATTAACCAGACAGGATCCCTGGGGGAGAAGGGGAGCACCCCCACATCCCTCCTCCCTGAGGAGGACAGGGGAGGGCTGTGATCTTCCCCTGTGACTTCTGGCCTGGGATGAGCCCTGGGGCGCCGGGAATCCCCCACTGCAGGACTCTGGGTGCAGAGACAAACCTGGGGGCCTGGGAAGGGTTGTCAGTTGGGGTCCCAGGAAATCCCAGGGCTGGCCCAGACCAAGTCTCGCTTACCTTGCTTTACAATGAACCCCCTTGGCCCCTCAGAGGTCAGCACCAGGCCCCTACCCCCACCCCAGCCACCACCACCCCAGCGTCCAGATTCTGACATCAGATTCTGGCGCAGGACAGGATATCCTGTATTTATCAGGAGCTTAGGTGGGAGGCTTCCAATAGTAACAGACTACAAATACTTGCCCCTTCCCACTCCAGTTCCTGCAGCCCCTCCTCAGGAGGGCAACCTGGGGACTTGGGAGTCAGTGCAGGGGGCTATGAGGGCAGGGGGTGCGGCCAGAGTCAGGCAGAAGCGCTCGGAGGAGCAGCTGTTTGCAGACAGGGTAACTGCAACAGATCCAGGCAAAGTCCTACAACTGGCCAAATCCGAAAGGAAATCCTCTAAGGATACACAGTCATGAGTCGCCCTAGGTTGCTCCAAAAGTTGGTCACCCGGAACTCTCCCTGTCTGAGGTGAGATGAACCCAGATACAGCAGGGAAGAGAAGCGGACCTGCCGAGCTGGGCTAACCAGCTCACATTGCCACACCTTCCCAGCCCAGCCAGCCAGGGCACTGCGCGGGTTTCTGAGGCCAGGGGTCCGAGGCCAGAGGAAGGCAGAGGCGATGCCATTTGAAGGTCCAGGGGAAGCCCAGGGTCGTGGTCCAAGGGTTCAGTGACGGGCGGAGCAGACACTCAGTCACGGGACCCCAAGACAAAGATCCAGAACCCTGGGGCGTCTCCGCAGCCCCAAGCCCAGCCTGGCAGCGGGGCGGCCAGCTCGGCTCCATGATGGGCGTGGCTCGACTCCGGGGCTCCGCCAGGGGAGCGGCCGCCTCACACCCCCACACACCACGGGGCTGCATGTGACTGGGGCTCTGGCACTGCCACTGCGTCCCCGCCCATCCCGACCTCAGCGCGCCCCGGCTCCCTCGGGAAGTGTGTGCATGGGGGACGGGGAGACTTGGCTTCTCAGTAGGGTCACAGACACAGGGCTGTAGGGTGGGCAGGGGTGCAGGTGTATTATTTCATTACTGGGGGAGTGGTGGCAGGTTGCGGATGTAGCGGGGAGTTGGTGGAGAAGGTCAGCACGCATGCGCAGAGCGCCTTATTGTTCCCCCCACCACCGCTCCTGGGCGGCGGCCACGACCCAAGATGCTTGAGGAAGGGGCGCCACCTGCGCCCACCCTCCGCTCCCCCCAAGCACCCTGGCTCTCCAGCAGCCTGAAACGCCAAGGGTGGCCTTTTTTCCTGGGCCCATCCTCCAGGCTCGCGCTGCGCTCCTTCGGTGCTGCCACACCCCCGGCTCCCGCCCCGCCGCGCCCCCCACCCACGCACCCCGGTCGGCTCACCTTGCGGTCGGTGACTCCCTCGCCCACCGCCACCACGACGCCCGCGCCCTCCATGCCAGGCGTGAGGGGCGGCGGCGGCAGCCGGTCGTACAGCCCCTGCCGAGCCATGAGGTCGGCGAAGTTGAGCCCGCAGGCCCGGACGCGCAGAGTCAGCTGGCCGGGCCCGGGAGCCGGGGGCGCGGCCGGCCGGCTCTGCAGCTTCACCTTGTCGTAGCCGCCGAAGCCCGTGAGCACCAGGCAGCGCAGGGGCGGCGGAGCCGGTGCGGCGGCCGCTTCGGGGGCTCCGGACGGCGCGGGCTCGCTCGCCGCCTCGGCCTTCGGGGGCTGCGAGGACGCGGCGTCCCCGGCGCCGGCTTCGGCCACCTCGGCAGCCGCCTCGGCCACCTCTCTCTCGGCGGACATGGCTGGGAGTCCCGACGTGCGCGCACAGCTGGACCGACGGTGGCCAGCTGCGGAGGGCGGCGCCGCGGCTGCGGGCTGCGGGCGGGCGGGGCCTGGCGCGCCCGGTTAAAGGGCCACGCTCCGGGTCCTGCAGCACCGCCGCGCGTGGACGTCTTGCAGGTGGGACCTCACGTGATTTGAAGGGGGCAGTGTGATGTAGCTGCTCGGCAAGGAGCGGCTCCCTCCCCTCTCTGCGCAAACCGGAGGGAAAAAAAAAGAAACATTCGTCCCACCCACTTTCCTGCATACGTCGACCCTACCCATCCCAATCGGAGGCCCACAGGAGTGAGCATCCCTCTTAAGTATATAAACAATATTTAAAATTTAAAAATTAGTTTTAAAAGAAATTCCAGGTCTCCCACGCGGGTGTAGGTTCCCAAGGCTTTTGACCGTCCTCTGCTTTCCCTAGGCTACAAGCAGAGAGCTAGATGGGAAGTGGAGCAGCTGGGACACGAACTGGCGTTCACATGGGATGCTGGCGCCTGCAGGTGAAAGATTAGCTTGTTGAGGCATTGCGCCGACCCCAGGATGCGTTTTTAATGGGTCCGTGAGAGGTATGGCCCCAGTACTTGACCCCTGCAGCACGTGGGAAGCCCCGAGGAAGTTCTGGATTCCTTAGTCTCTGAATCAAGCCTGGAACCAGTGGCTCTGCGCCTGGGCTGCAACAGAACTGTCCCTCATTTCTGCCCCTTCTCGCCGTCTCCCCTACACATCCACCAGAGGACGCAGCTCTCCCAAAACTTTCCTCCCATACCAGGGCCGGGGCGGGCGGGGAGACTCGGTCCGTGCTACCGGCCAGCCGAGGACGGGACCCCGCCGCACGTTGTCATGGAGACCCCAAACCGCCCCCCGAGTGGAGGTCTTGGGGTCCCCGGACTCGCCTGTCACCAGGACCCCTGTTACGACGCCCCCCTGCGCCCAGGAATTGAATGGCTGCCTGGGCGCGCGTCCGCACCGGCACACCGTCCGCGCGGGGCCACACCGGAGGCCTGCGCCGGGCGCGGGTGCTCCTCGCCCCGCACCCCCGAGGAAGCCCTGCGCTGCCGGCCGTCACCCCGCGGCTCGCCCGCACCCCGGCCCCCCGAGCTCCGCCCCCGGTTGCGCGGGCGGGAGGCGGGGCCGGGGGCGCGGCCGCCGGGCTGGGGGCGGGGCTGGGGGCCGCGGCCCCGGGCGGGGGCTCGGCGCGGGCCCGCGAGATGCCGGTGTCGGCGGCCCGAGCGGCTGCAGCTGCAGCGGCGGCAGAAGCGGCGCGGGGGGCCGCCGGCGCGTAGCCGGGACCATGGAGGGGCAGAGCGGCCGCTGCAAGATCGTGGTGGTGGGGGACGCGGAGTGCGGCAAGACGGCGCTGCTGCAGGTGTTCGCCAAGGACGCGTACCCCGGGGTGAGGGACCGGCGTCTCGGGAGGAGAAGGGGGGGCATCGAGACTGCGGGAAGAGAGGAATGACAGGGCCCCGAGGACGAATGGAAACCGATGCTGTGGTAACCGGGGGCGGGAGAGAGGGACCCTGGTGAATGAGGGGGACAGGAGAGAGGGAGGCCCTGGGGGCTCTGGAAGGACTGCAGAGGATTGGGGTGGGTGGAATTGGAGAGCAGGGTGAGCTCCACGGGGGTTTGTGAGACCCGGGGGACCCGGGTGGGAGCGCCAGGGCTTGGAAGAGTGGGAGAACTAGGGGCCGAGGGGCCGGGAGGAGTCTGGGAACCTAGCACTGATGCGGTGGAGGCAGCTGCTCCCAGGGTCTCCCCTTTGCCCAAGCGCAGACCAACTTGTGTCCGGGGACTGAGCAGGCGTGGGAGTGGGGAGGGCATCGGTGTGGGCTGAGGACTGGAGTGCGATCTCATTTTGACCCATTCCTGCCTGCAGAGTTACGTCCCCACCGTGTTCGAGAACTACACGGCAAGCTTTGAGATCGACAAGCGCCGCATTGAGCTCAACATGTGGGATACTTCAGGTAGCCCAGCCCCTCGGGATCATCCGGGCTTCCAAGCCCACTCCGCCTTGACCCAGGCTTTGGCTAGCCCCACCCACCCACCCAATTCAAGGAGGAAAGAAAATTGAGTTTGAATTTGGGGAAGCTGAGGCAGAAATCCTGCCCCAGGGAGACATCCCTGGACTGGGTGCTGCCTCCCTGGGAAAGTTGGGAAGGAATAGCTTTTCCTTTGAAACTTATTTTATAGACGATATGGCTGCGTGTAGGGAGACATTTGAGTTTCTTGGTGGGATGCTGGGGGTGGGGGAGAGGTCTAGGCTGACCAGTGGGGTCCCTCCCTTTCCCCCTCCCCGCCCCTGCTCCTCTTCCTCCTCTCCACCCCTCCCCCTCTCTCCCAGCCAGGAAGTGCATTCCCTGGAGGGCTTTGGGAGATGCCAGTTAGAACATGCAAAGTACAAGTCCAAATTTTAGGAGACTATTTTTAAGACTTTGTGAGCTTCTTAAAAGGACTCCAACTCAGAACAGATTAGGAGCGATCACTTGTAGAGAACTTCTGTGGACCCTCCCTCCACTCTTGTCCTATTTTCCATCCTCTGTCCCCAGCACCGTTGGTTAGAACTTCTTGGGTCCCCCACCCCCTTCCCTGCTCCCTGTTCACCCAGGCCCTGTTCCTTCACTCCCTGTCTTCTCTCAGGCTCTTCTTACTATGACAATGTCCGGCCTCTGGCCTATCCCGACTCCGATGCTGTGCTCATCTGCTTTGACATCAGCCGACCGGAAACACTGGACAGTGTCCTCAAGAAGGTGGGAGAGTGGGGAAGCAGGCCGGCTAGACAGGGGCTCTGGCCACTTGGGCCTGCCTGATGGGAGTCAGGGAGATGGCTGAGGCGTAGCCATGAGCTGGACAGAGTGTGCATCCCTCCTGAGCCCCCTCCCCAGAACGTGGCTTGGAAGTCAGAGCTAGGGCAGCAGCCAGGGGAGATGGATATGTACCCCCATGTCCTTGGGTGTGGGAGCCCCACGTGGAGCTCAGTCAAGCCCTTGGTGGCCTCCTGTCTAGACCCCTATTTCCATGAGAAAAAGCTTATGGTGATTGAGCTCCAGTCAGCTAGGGCAGCCCCAGTTCCCAGGAGGGGCCAGGCGGGGTTACTCGTTCCATGGGAAAGGGCAGGTCCCAGGCTGGCAGGCCCTTGGTGGTCACTGAGGAAGGAGGCTTCCCAGGCTCCCACCGAGGCCTCTCCTCTCCCCTTCCTTCTCACTCCAAGCCACTCTCCACTCAAGCTTACATTTGTACCTCCTGCCTCAGGTGGGAGGGCCCGAGACCTGGGCCTTCCTGTGCCCCTCTGTAATTGTGTTTTCTTCCCCCAAATAGTGGCAGGGAGAGACTCAAGAATTTTGCCCCAACGCCAAGGTTGTGCTGGTTGGCTGTAAACTGGACATGCGGACCGACCTGGCTACGCTGAGGGAGCTGTCCAAGCAGAGGCTTATCCCCGTTACACATGAGCAGGTGGGACCCTTGACCTTGGCCCCAAGCCCAGCACAGACCGGCTCCACTCTGTCCCTGTCTTTGTCGGATTGGACAGAACCCTGGATGGCTCAACCCTCTACCTGGCCTCTAACACACTTTCTCCACCCTCCCTCAGCCTTGCCCTTCAGCCCGAACCCCTGAACTTCAGTACCCCTTGTTGAGTTGCACGTTGAATCTCTCATGTGCTTCTTTTCCAGGGCACGGTGCTGGCCAAGCAGGTGGGGGCCGTGTCCTATGTGGAGTGCTCCTCCCGGTCCTCGGAGCGCAGTGTCAGGGATGTCTTCCACGTGGCCACAGTGGCCTCCCTTGGCCGTGGCCACAGGCAGCTGCGCCGCACCGACTCACGCAGGGGACTGCAGCGATCCACACAGCTGTCAGGACGGCCAGACCGAGGGAATGAGGGCGAGATACACAAGGATCGAGCCAAGAGCTGCAACCTCATGTGAGGGGCTGCGAGGTTGGGGTCGGGGGAGTGCAGAGTGAGGAGAGGCTTGGGGCAAGGTATCCAAGGCTTCCCCGACTTTCTTGCCCGCCTCCTGAGCGCTGCTGACCCTGGCTGGGACGTAGTGAACTGCTGGGGTGATTTTCCTGAACTAGGGAACAATGGGCAAGGTGGGTAGAAAAATGCCCATGTTCACTCCATCTCCACTGAAGGGGCCAGAAGGGCAGACCTCTGGGACAGGAGCTGGGAGGGGGCAGACCAGGGTCAGGGCAACTAGCATGCAGCAGGGACCCGGACTAAGTGTTGTATTGGAAGGGAACCTTTCCTCCCCAGATCCCGGTCTGGCTTCGTTCCCTCAGGAATGTGTCTGTTCTGTGATGTTCTGTTCCTCTCCTCTGTCACCTCTGCAGCCCCTCTCATGCATCCTAACATCCTGGCCACATGCACTAAATTAAAAGCAAGGAGAAGCTCTTCCCATCCCACCAGTCCAAGCTCCCCCGCTGCCTTCCATCCATAGTTCCCAAATAAAGCCCTGTCCATGGAAAACGACTGTGGCTTTAGTTTTATTGCGTTTAAAAAAGAAAAACAAAAAACAAGAAGTCTACCAGTCTGTAGCAGCAGGAGGTAAAGCTATCTGTGCCCACAGCTGGAGCCAAGGAGCCGGGAGTTGGGATGGGAGAGCCCTTTGGGGAACCAGACGTGAGAGACCTGCAAGTGTCTCACCCCCGTTTACCCCCGTAAATGAGGGGGACAATCCTAAGGCTACTTGGGGGGTAGGTCTTAGAGTAGACAGGGACACTCAGCCCTGGGTTGGGGGGTGTCCCTGCCAGCTAGGAGGGTCCAGTTGGAGGGTCCAGGCTGCCCTGTTTCACCGTCGCTGCCCCTGGCTTGGAAGTTGCAGGTGCCTCCGGGCACAGAGGGCATCTAAGCCTTCATATCACAGAAGCCGGAGTTCCCCTATGGGCAGTGTCTCTCTGTGCTGAGCTCCTGGAGGCTTTGGGGGTGGCCTGAGCCATGTGTGCGGGGGGGATCACCCCCACCTCTGCTGCAGAGGGGCCGGCCGGAGTGCTGCTGGCCAGCAAGACAGTATAGGTCTGTTTTCTCGGGAGTCTGGTTTCAGACTGTCCTGTATTCCCTCCCTGGCTCTGGGCCCACTGGCCTCCTTTCGGTGACATTCTCCCCCAGGAACCGGCCCCAGTCCTATTGAGACAATACTACCCTGGCCCTCCCATGGATGGCCGTCTCACCCTCATCCACAGCCCAGCTTTCCCTCATTCATTCAGAGCAAACATGAGCCAAGCACCTACTGTATGCCACACACTGGCTGGACAGACCCAAGGCACCCACCGCTTGCTGTAGGACAAGGATGCAACAAAAGCTTCCCAGGACTGAGACCCTCTTAGATGCTTATACAGGTGGGGGCTGCAGGGTGGGAGTCATTGCCGGTAGCTGGGATGTTTCCTGTGAACTAGGCCCTGAGGACTGAGGCCAGACAGGGAAGGTAGGAAAGGCCCTGGGCAGAGGGCAGAGAATGTGTAGGCCTGTGGGGGTGAGGCTGAGCTGGTGTGATGGGGGCTTCCATGGCAAGGAGAGCAGTGAGCAAGGCTGGAAGGTGTGGAGGCTATGGCAGGGCCACTGGGAGGGGAGCCAGGACTTCAATTTGAGGATCCATGGGGTCAGCAGCAATGGAGTGCCATAAGGTCGATGTGGGCTAGCTGGTCATGTGGAGATGTGTATGGGGGAAGCGCTGGAGGATCTGGCTCCCAGGTATGTCATTTGAAATGATGCTCCTTTCCTAGCCCTAGGAAAGGAAATCTCCGCCCATCCCCTGGCTTGTCAGGTAAGGACTCTAGAGTAACATCCAGGGCACTAAGCATCTCGCCTCTGGACAGCTGACTTTAGGGGCAGGCTCTGTGGCTTCCTCCTCTGCCCCACTGTGAGGACCCATCCTGTATGCACTGGGGAGTGAAAAAGGCCAGGTTCCTAGGCCTTGCCAGGGACAGGGACCTACCTTAAAAATTGACTTGGGCTTTGGGACTGGTGTGGTTCTTTTTCACTGGGTTCCTTCTGGCACAAAGCAGGTTCAAGGCCACAGCCACTGGGAGTGCAGGGTGTTTGTACCCCACTCCTACCCCAACTTCCCTCTCCTGCCATTTGCGCTGAGGGAATGGAATACATGCTTCCATATCTGCCTAAAGCAAACATAATTAAGAAGATAAGTCAACTGGAGGATCTCCCCGCCAAAGTTGAATTCATTCCCAGTAGTGCCAGGAGCAGAGGGCCAAGTGACCAGGGAGGAGTCTGTGCCCCTCTGGACCCAGGAGCCCAGGGCTGGAGGATGGACCGGAGCTGTTTCTTGGTCCTTAGTGATGGAGAGGGGAAGACCCTACAGGCTGCAGGGAGGGGGACCTTGCTCCCACCTCCAGCCTAGATGCAGGAGTCAGACTCTGCTTCCTCCTCTGCAGCTGTTTCTCCCACAAATTAGATGCTCATTTGGGAAACAATGTGGCCTCGTTAATCACTTAATGAAATAAACAACTAATCATGCTGTGATGCTGCCAGAGTCTCTTAACCTCTATGATCAGCCTGCCCAGGAGGGGAGCCCCCTGAAACCCTGAAACACTTTTGCCACAGGTGTTCTCCTGTCCTCCCAGGACAGCCAGCCCTGGATAGTGCCTGAAGTTGGCAGACAAGTTCCAGAACACAAGGCCAGCCCTGATGCTCACTCCCTTGAGGAGCCTTAGACCAGGCCCAACAGCTGCCTTCTTTTGATTTATTTATTCAGTTGAAAGCAAGAGCCACATAGAGAGGGAGGATGAGACAAATCAACAGGTCATCCAGTCACTGGTTCACTCCCCAAATGGCAGCCAAGGCCGGAGCTGGGTCTATCTAAAGCCAGGAGCTTCAGCTGGCTCTCCCATGTGGTTAACAGGGAATCATGTACCCAGGCCATCCTCCAGTGCTTTTCTAGGTGCATTAGCAGGGGCTGGATCAGAAATGGAGCAGCTGAAACTCAAACCAGCACCCATGGCCACCACGCAGTGCTGATTCCTGAACTTCAGTTTTCATACTTAGTATGGTGGCCTAACGACTAAAGTCATCGCCTTGAACGCGCTGGGATTCCATATGGGCACTGATTCTAATCCTGGTAGCCCCACTTTCCATCCAGCTCCCTGCTTGTGACCTCGGAAAGCAGTCCAGGACAGTCCAAAGCCTTGGGACCCTGCACCCGTGTGGGAGACTTCGAGGAAGCTCCTGGCTTCTGGCTTCGGGTTGGTGCAGCACTGGCGATTGCAGTCACTTGGGGAGTAAATCATTGGACGGAAGATCTTCCTCTCTAAATAAATAAAATACAAAAAAAAAGGATCTTCTTCTCTATCTCTTCTTTCTGTATATCTGACTTTGCAATAAAAATAAAATAAATCTTAAAAAAAAAAGGGTGGGACTGATTACCTTGTGTATTACAGAGGAAGAGTCAAAGGAGAAAGAATGTTAGAAAAGTTGCTTGATTTTTTTTCAATTAAAAATTACTTATTTGAAAGTCAAAGAGAGCAAGAGAACCATTTATGGATGGGCTCACTTCCCAGATGGTGACAATGGTTGAATGAACCAGGCCAAAGCCACGAGCTAGGAACCTCAGCTGGGTCTCCCATGTGAACGTCAGGAGCCTAAATATTTGAATCATCTGCTGCTGCTTTTCCCAGACCATGAGCAGGGGACTGGATAGAACTAGAGCAGCCAGGCATGAGCTGGCATCCAAAGGGGATGCCTGGAATGGGTTCACCTACTACATCGTGACCACTGGACCCTTGGGAAGGGCCTGAGCTGACCTCAGCCTCCGTCCTCTAATCAAGATTTGCAGCGTTGAGTGCTTCTGAGCTGAAGCGATCAGGAAAGACATCTAGGAGAGGGTATCTGGGGCCAGGGTTTCAAAGCCAGAAGAAAGCCAGAAGGGGAGGGCATTGTGTCTTGCTCCCACACCTCCATGGGGGCCAGAGTGGGCGTTCATGATGCCTCTGAAGGCTCGGGGTACTTTGAGCCCCACTTTTCTAAACTCCCCTCATTGATTTTCTTAAAGCCTCTGGGTGAGGACCCTGTGTTGCCATAGTAACCCACCCCAGATACACTTAGCTCAGTCCTGCTGGCTGGGGATGGGAAAGGGCAGGGAGCGGAGGAGTCATGTCCCTCTGTCCTTCAGTCCTGCTCTTCATTCTCCATTCTCCACTCTTCCCCAGCAGTGGGCTCACTGATTTGTTGTAAGAGTTCTACCCAGGGTGGCTCCTCTCCTTCCAGCTGGCTTCCTAGGTGGTTGCTCTCCTGCAAGTGAGGGGCAGTGTACGGGAAGGATTTAGGCCTGCAGGGGTGGGGTGATTGCCAGGGCCACTACCCCCACAACCCAGCAGCTGGAGAGACCAGAGAGGCCCATATATGTAAGTGCCCCTCCCCCTGAAAATGCCTCTGCTGTTGACTCCTAAATAACAGATGTCTGTCTGCATATTAATGAGATTGGACGAATAATTGGTGAGTTTTTCATTCAGTGTCAGAATGAACCCGGAGGCCTTATGTTCAGGCGTAGACACACGCTCACACATTCACCCTCTCCCTGGCCCGCCCTTCCCCCAGCACACAATGCAACAGACGCTGGCAGGCTTGACCCACAAAAGGGAGGGGGCAGATGGGAACTGGGATGGGGTGTTGGCAGGAGGGAGACCCCTGTAGTCTGGGCTGGTTATGTCTTGGTCACTGCCTTCCCACCCACCCCCACTCTTAGCTGGCATGGGCAAAAGCTTGCATTGGTTTTACCACCCTGTGGGGTCAGTGGGTGCTGGGGGCTCTGGGGGAAGATGGTCCTCTGCTTCATTTGAGCCCCATAATTCATGAGCCCCTTACCTTGTGCTCCACTCTGTGTCAGGGCATGTGGTTAGGAAGAATGGAAGTTTTGAGTTTATTTATTTAGGAAGTTTTGGATTTAGCTGCGTGCTCTTGTCCAAGTTACTCTGCCTC